CAGTACGATAAATATTTAGAGATTTCCAATAATTTTGGCCATTGTAGCGGCTAAAAGTAGCGGCGCTACATTTTACTGTAGCGGTAGCGCTCGCTACAATCTCGTGGGTGTAGCGGCAGCGGTAGCGCCCGCTACATTTAAAGCATGTAGCGGTAGTGGCACGCTACATTTCAAAGTAGCGCTGGCCAGCTCTGCAAATAGGCCAGTGTTCTCTTGTTTTTGTCACTGTATGAACTTTTCGATTGAATTTACCACAAACAGGGAACTACGATTTAATTCGATAAACACACAAAAGAAATCGAGAAACCAGTATCGGATATCTTGAGGTATGAAAAACTAGAGCTAGCGAGGAACAATGTCACAGCCCTCAACATCAATATTGACTTAGAGTAAAAGTTTGACCAATTAGTCGGTTGCCCGTCAACACACTCAAACTTATCGACAGTCTTGCATGAACCCAAAGGTCTCGCCCGTCCGTCTTTTCCAGGTTGGCGTTTCTCAATCAAGTTAAACCTAATCAATGAAATGTGACACTGTTGCAAATTTAAAGGGTAGAATATTATATATGTATTAGTATAAATTTGGCATTTATTGGGTTGAAGGTTTGAAGCCTGGCACAAAAAAGTATGTAGTGGCTGTTTTGTAGGGAGCGTATCCACGATACCTACTTATCACGTCGAGCTTTAACCTACCTAGACTTGAAAATTTATTCATTGTGGGGAAAAATTGTAAGGCATTGCAAAACGGGGAGGCAAGGACTGGATCGAAAATTTAAATTTGATTTCAAATTACTGTATACGAATCCGGTTTCAGCGGTAAATAAATGGGTTTTCTGAATTTTATTACAGGGATTCTATGTAAAATATGAGTTAAACGGCACTCTATTCAATTAAAATTTATTAAATTTCTTATTCGTGATTATAAAATTGCATGGATAATGGATTCCGGGCCGTGCCGACCCCGAATATTATATAAATATTTATAATAATAACGGTTTCAGCGTTTATTAGGCCGCACGCCTACCACAGATTGCTGCGGCAGCCTTTGGCTTGGTTTTATATTAATAATAATAGCGGTTTCAGCGTTTATTACTAATTATTAGGCCATAGGCATGTCGCCGATTCCTAACATCGCAGAACATCCACAGCTTGTTGCGGTCTCGAACTCACAACTCATTGATTCAAATTCTGCTGTGCTTAACGAACCCGCGCCTCTCTGCGCTAATCTTGGTACTCTGAACTGTAACCACTTGGGCCACCAGAGGTTATATGCTTTGGTTGTTGAATATCATTTTTCCTAACGAAAATTCAGCGAAATGAACAGAGAAACCAAAAAATTGAAGAGAAATTTTGCCCTATGTAAAGCAACTTTCTTTTCTACGGCAATACATGGCACTCTCTTCTTGATAAATGTTTCAATGCTAAGCGATTCTCATCTTCAATAACTGAAACCAAAAAGTTACAAGATAATACAGGGACAATGTCATAAATCAACTTGCACTCTGACTGGAAAGTGTGATTTCTCTTGCCCAAAGTCTTAAAATCAATAAAAGAAAGAAGTGACTTGCTCTCCAGAGTTTTCAGGACTTAATTGATATCCACGTCTCGGACAAATTTACTGCCGGACCCGCGGCCGGTCTCGCGGCCGCAGGACTCCTAACATAGAAAAAACCTAGCCAATCAACGAAAACCTCGCAGGTTAGGCCCAGTTAGGTACAGGTTCCATTAAAAACCTAGAAAACCCATAAAAACACTAAGAAAACCTTTCCGGCCGTAAATTTGTCCGAGACCTATAGAATAGAAGTGTCGACACTGAAGAAATGGGCCCATGGAAATATTTTGAATATGCTCTTGATTAATGAAGACATTCAATATTCATGAAAAAATATTTTGAATATTCAATATTTTAAAATATATATTGTTACCCGAGTGGGAGAAGTCTATTACTTAAAAACTGAAGTTGCGAAAGCCTGATTCATGGAATATTAACGAACATCACTGTCACGGTTTGTCAGAGTTTTTCATTACAACTGAAATTACGGAATTGTCCGAGCCTCCACGGCGAGCATGGAATCTTTTATTCGCCATTGCTTTCCACTTAACCGTTGAGTTATGATGCAACAGCGACACGAGGTGTTCTTCCTTCCTTAGGCTTATGCTCTAGTAACGGAAAATGCTAATTTACTGCTAAACTCTAGTCGTATCTAGTGTTATAGTTACTATTATCTTTCAGAAAGTGCATCGCGACAACGCAAACTCCCGTGTGTCACAATAATCTCTAATTAATTGCCGTCAACCGATCTTGGACTTGCACTTGGCGTGGCCCGCATGCGGACGAGCGGCGTGTGCGGTGGGGGGCTGGGGCCGTGCCCGCCGTGGGGCTCCAATTTTGGGGCCAATTGTTGGTCTCACTCTCAATGGTCTGGGCCGTGGGCCCCAACCCATCCTGCCAAGGCCCAAGCCCTAAGGGCTCAACAGTCAGCACTTCGATCGTGTTTGCCAAGGCTCCACAGAATTTCCTTAAACATTGAGAATTCCAACTTCCAAGCCAAATCTTGCTACAAACATCCAAGCCCAAAAGTTACTCTTCTGCAAGAACTAAAAGTAAAAGACTAAAAGGTGCAAATACCGGCGTGCAATAACTTGCCTTATGAAGTTATGCTTAGCAGCGAACTGCGAAGCAGCCTAGGCCATAGATCTTATTAGATCATAGAGGCTAGAGCCTAGAGTTATAGACTAGGGTACTAAGGGTAGTAATGCTTAGTGCTTACATTGTCATTCTGTAGTGTGCTGGCATAATTGTGGAGGAGTGTTAATAGTGTAGTAATGTAGTTCTTCTGACTGTTCTGTAGCACGCATAATTGTGGAGCAGTGGAGGAGTGCTAATAGTGGTCAGTGGAGTTCTGTTACAAACCCTCTGACTCTGAGAAGAAATTCACCAAGACAGTAAAATGAGTAAATGTGAAGTAAAGAGTTGAAGACACCAAATATCACTAGGGTAAACGCGGTATATTCCGACATCGTAGGCAGTGTGGAATTCTGTATAGGTCATAGTGGCAAACCAGAGCTTTTTCAGAATCAGTTCATTTTTAATTTCCTCATTTGCTCAAGATTTTAACCAATTTCTCAAGTATGATAATGCTGGTATCCATGATACTTTACTGGTCTACTTATAGGACTCAAAATTGAACTCAAGGGAGAGTCTAAAAAACTCTCTGCTTTGTCACTATGGTATAGGTAATATATTCTCATGTCAATATAAGAAAACGTATCGAAATACCAACCCTACCACCGCGTTACACCACCTTCCAGTTTCCACTGCAATGAAAATTTATAAACTGAGCTCATTGGGACCTACCGTGCTTCCGAAATCGCGCGTGGTTTGAAATCCAATCCCGTGTTGCCAACGACTAATCAAGTTAACTTGTCGTTTATCTGTAGGCTAGCGGACACATTTTTGCAATGAATACGTTCTAAAATAAAAATAAAACACATCCAGAATCGTAAAAAATTCTCACGATTGGACAATACTAACAAAGTTTTCGATATCACACAAAAGTATGAGATAAACGTCCACTTTTCCAAGGCGTACATTCACATGGTGTTTCCACGATCATAAGGCGGTGGACCGATAAGTACTCACAATAATTCCCTGCCACCATGCCTACGGGCCCTACCCTAGGGCCTAGGCTCCTAGTGACTTGCCAAATATTTGAGTGCTCAGTACTATGCTGGAACGCTGTGATGTGTGATGCACTTGTGTCCAAGCATGGAAAACATCTACCTTTAGGGCTGCAACTAGAGCTTTCCCGCCATTTCTGGAACCGTGAGATTTCTGCCAGATGAAAAGTTCACAATTAGGCCCCAAGATTCCAATTGTATTAAAAATTTGTCACATTAGAGCTGTGAGATTTCAGAACAGAAAAAAGTAGGAAAATACCAATCCTGCACTTGTCCTAGGGCCACTCCTAGCCAAGGTTGGCCCAGAAGGCAGAAGCCAACAGGCTAACAGCATTGACCATTTCAGGAAAGTCAGTCTAAAAAGTGAAAATCATGCATTAAGGTGTATATTTTTGTAGGTTTGATTGAAGACCAGAGCAGGCTTATAATTAACAATTTTCTTATTGTTTTCTTTAATAAGCTGGACTAATAATTTCTTGCTGGTATTGAGAGATCAAAATTCAAAAAGCAGGTTGCCAAATTACATTTTACTGGAATTCAAAGTCTTGAATATTCAATATTCATTCTCAAGTAGGTGAAGACTGAAGAGTTTTGCAACATTTTAAATTTGGAAATGACATTAGACAATAAGTATATACTAAAGCCTGTAAAAGTATCTTTGGCACAGTTTGAAATTGAAAATTAAAATTTATTGCAAGAACAACTTCTATGTCTTGACAAATCCAGTGGTTTTCGAATTGATGGCTGGAGGCTCATCCTCGATGATGAGAGCCTCCGCTTAGTCTGTTATTGTTAGTCTTGTAGTATTGGGGCACAGCATGATGATGCTGTTCAAGCCTCCAATGTTGCACAGGTGAGGGTTTTGTTGTGAGCTTCTCGCATATGATTGTTTGGTCCTTTGGATATATATATATATTGATAAATTTATCCAAATGTATAATATCTTTTTATTTTGGGAAATTTGATATCGCTTTCCCATCCACTATCCAGGATTGGAATTTTCCTGCTTGTCACTGAAATTTTGTGGCTCTGAAGTGACAAATTTTCAAAGTATTTGTAATCTTTCAGCCCAACTGTGCTCTTTTGTTAACAATTAGATAGGAGGTAATTAATCTAGTGCGAATCTTGCAGTTCCAAAAATAGAGGAAATTTCAAGATGCTGTTTGAAAGGTAGATATTTTCTACTCTAGTTCCCATCAAATGTTGATAGATATTAATAAGCAAGTAACATGGGTTGGGTAATAATAGTTGCACAAAATCTCATAGGAATAATGTTATGAATGCAATTTATACAATATTCTTTCCTTATTATCAGGCATGGTTTCAGATTCCAAAATGTCAGACATAGGAGATCAACAGGTTCTCCAAACGACTGTTGTCAGTCACACACAAGACTCGAGTCACTTAACTACTCCTGCTGATGATGAAAATGCAGAAATATGTGCTCTTGGTGTCACCATACTAGACCAATCAACTGTAGAAAAGAAAGTTGAACAAAAGGTAGGTACTTTCAGCTATGGTTTTGTATAGCATCAAGTTTGTATTCATAATTAATGCCCATTCAGGAACCCTGAAATTTATTTGTAAACATAACTAAAATAATTTCTTATAGTTTATGTTCCTTTGACAAATACCTTGAAGAAAACTCAAATTTATGATTTCTTGTCTTGACAGGTTGATGCAGTACTTGCTCACCATGAACATAAGCAAAGGCTCAACATATTGGAACAAGAATTTCGTCAAGTTTCCACAGAAATTGAGCAGGCCCACAAAAATGCATCTCAGTTGAATGATAAACTTGCTAGTAGGTTTTTATCCTCTTGAAATAGCATTTAATTATGTCTTTCATGTTAAATATTAATATTATTTTTCAACTTAGATTGATGAATGTATGTATATACAGTAGTATGTGTCCTATAATGCAACAGAATCAACTATTATAATTTAAAAGCTAGTTAAGCTACTAATATCTAGTTTACCACAAATGCACCTGCTGCCAATAGTTTTTTGATGTACGGTTCATAGTCACTGGCTGAAAAATGATTTATTTTTATTGCTAATGACAAATTTGTTTACGAGTTGGAGATTATCTACAATTTTTGTTGACTATTTCAGGCTTGCAGCACCGCATCACAGACCCAAAGCGCTATGCTGCGGCAGAACAAGAGGCTGCCAAAGGCTTTGCCAGCATTGATGAGCTTAATGGCCGCCTTGAAAAGATCAAAGAAGAGCTGTCTTCCATGTCCCACACATCAGTAGGTGTACTTAAACAGGCTCCACAATCTCATAACTACTTATTTAATGTTAAATTATTTAATCTTAGTACATTATGTATAATTTTGCTTCCAATATTTTTAATCTCATAGAATATCATACACTCACTTTTTCAATATAATTTTTAATATGATTATAATATTCTAATGTTTGCATACTGGCAATCACTTAGAAAGAACAAACTGATAAAAATTCTTACCATCTGGCATCACCATCTAGCCATTGATTAACACCTGCTAAGTGCTGACCTTATTCTATAATTTCAGGGCGATGACAAACTGCTGCAAATCCAGTCTCTCTCCTCCCAAAATACAGAAACTGAACGTGAGTGTCTCATCAGAGTTGGAGAGATCACGCCATTTGCTACTGAAATTTCTCTGTTTGCAGCCAGGTAGGGACTTCAGCTCTCAGGAGTTTCTGATCTCATGTAAAAATTAAGAATAAGAAACCATTCATCTATGGATAATCATGAATATAATAGAAGCTTGTAAATGTGTATATATATCAGTTCAAATTGTTGACATTAAATATTTTGAAATATTTCTTGGTATTTTCATACTGCCTACTATCCTTTATGTACGTATCAAATGACAGTACGTATATGTAATTTCCAGGCAGCGGTACATGGAATCTCAACCGTCAACTTCTAAATTATCACCAAGGCAAAAACCTTTGTTCAATAATGCTGGATCAAAGAAACAAAAGTTTGATAACATAAAAATGAGAGATGCAAAATCAAATTCGTTATGCTGTTTGAAAAAAACGAAAAAACGTCAGAAACATTCAACTGAAAATTTGAGTGGCTCTTTGTACAAGAGAGAAGAAAATAGTTCCTGCCAACCAGAATTACGTGCCTTGCCCATGGAAGACGAGCTGGTCACTGACGATGATGATGCCTCAGAATATCTACCGTCTGATTCTTCTCGTTCAAGTGATGAATATGATGCAGAGGAGAGCATACACTGTGAAGGAAGTGTTATCAAGAAAACTGCAAAGAAGTTAATTTCTGCACGTGGTAAAATACGCCCTAAACTTGAGATGACCCGCAGAGAAAGAAACAAGTTATTGAAAGAAAAGAAACGTGCTGTAGATGATAGTAACTTTGACTCGTATGAGAAACGGATAAAAAAATGGAAGAAGACGCAGGTGGTTGATTGTAATAACGTTTCGGGATCTCTGGATTATGAAGTTCTAGGACGAAGTATGCGGGTGCCCTCGATTATATGGTCAAGGCTTTACAAATACCAGCGAACGGGAGTGCAGTGGTTGTGGCAGCTTCACTCACAAGGCTGTGGAGGCATCTTAGGAGACGAGATGGGGCTAGGAAAAACCGTTCAGGTCATTGCTTTCTTGGCTGGCCTACGTTGCGGCAGAGACACCAATCACGCCCCGGTGCTCATCGTATGCCCAGCAACCCTTCTTCACCAGTGGGTAAGTCATTTCCACGCTTGGTGGCCGCCATTTAGAGTAGGGGTTTTGCATCAATCTGGAGGATACGCAGGCAGCAGCAAGGTACTCATGCACAATATAGTCAAGGATAAAGGAGTGCTCATCACTTCATATACAGGAGTACGTCTTCATTTAGATTCTCTGCTGAAGCACAACTGGCAGTATGTCATCCTCGATGAAGGTCACAAGATTCGTAACCCTGATGCTCAAGTTACTGTGGCTGTTAAGAGCTTCAATACTCCTCACCGCCTCATTCTCTCTGGCTCGCCAATTCAAAACAGCCTGAAGGAGCTCTGGTCTCTATTTGATTTTGTGTTTCCTAGTAAGTTGGGAACCTTGCAAGTGTTTTTGCAGCAATTTGCAGTACCTATCACCCATGGCGGTTTTGCAAACGCCAGCAGAGTGGAGGTAGAGACTGGTTATCAATGTGCGGTGATGCTACGCGACACAATATCCCCATATCTTCTCAGAAGAATGAAATCTGACGTAAAGGCTCATCTCGAATTGCCAGACAAAAGTGAACAAGTTCTCTTCTGCGCTCTTACTAAGGAGCAACGGCAGTTGTATCAAGAATATCTTGCAGGCGACCAGTTATCTCGAATCATGTCGGGAAAAATGAAAGTCTTTGTTGGCCTCACCAATTTGAGAAAGTTGTGCAACCATCCCGATCTCTTCACAGGCGGCATCAAACTTTGTGCTGGTGAAACGGAAGAAGATATTCCTCGGTACAATACCTACGGTTGGTGGGAGAGAAGTGGCAAGATGCAAGTGAGTAGCTAGCAATAGCATTGCAAAATTTATTCGACTAATCTACGCATTCCTACCACCTTACTTCTCAACATAGTAGTTTTTGTGTCGATACTACAATAATTGTTCAAAAATATCTATTACGATTATTGTTCAAAAATATCCAGACTTGCACTGCTAGCTGTTTTTATCTTTCTACTTAGTTTATATACTGTATGTCTTCGTTCATCAAGTTATTAGGTCTTGAATTAATCATGACCTGTTAAAGGTGGTGCAAGGCGTGCTGAAGGTATGGCATCAGCAGAAGCACCGCGTGCTGCTCTTCTCCCAGTCCTCACAAATGCTCGCTATCCTCGAGAAGTTCGTAGCTCAGCAGAACTACACGTACCTCAAAATGTCTGGGTAAGCCTAATTGCTTTGTCTGCAATACTACAATACAATATTGGTTAAAATTCTGCCCTTTAATCAAATCTACGTGAATCACCTGAAATAACTCGGTAACGGCTTAAATTGTTGAGGAAAGATACGAGTAAATGCCTAGAATATCTCATTAGGCGAAGCTTGTCAATATTGATTTTCCTGATGTGGCTCACGATCATGGATTAAGTGATAATTTCAGTAGGTATCACAGTTCAAATCATCTTAAAAGCTTGGATTGACGCGAAATATACCGGAGAACCTGAAATTATTCCAGGAGAATATTACTTCAGTTATTTGCCGTTGCTGCTCACTATAATTTTCACAAGTTTTTGTTAGTCAGTTATGTATTATTAATACCCTTTATACACCAGTACGATTGATTCCAGATCTACTGCAGTGGGCGCTCGCCAGGGGCTCGTCAAGCAGTTCAACAAAGACGCCAACATTTTCGTGTTCCTCCTAACAACGCGTGTTGGAGGTCTCGGTGTGAACCTCGTCGGGGCGGACCGGGTTCTTATCTACGACCCCGACTGGAACCCCTCGACAGACACCCAGGCTAGAGAAAGAGCCTGGAGAATCGGCCAATTGAAAAATGTCACCATTTATCGGTAATTCCAGATAATTTTCGATTTTCTTATTGTGGTGCTGTCGTTTAAAACAGAATTATTAAAGAAATAGACTCGAACACTTGGAAATTTTTACTGAAACGTGTGCTATTTGCTACGATAATTGTTCAAAAAATGTAAGACACAATTGTACTGCTAGCTGTTTTTTATCTAGGAAGACAAATTTTGAAAGATTGGAAAAAACACGTCAGAAAAACAACAATTTGAATTTTACAAAAAATAACAAAAAGTCTATGAGTGCAATATATGCAATGCTTGAAAAAAATGTACATATAAAGGATTTGTTTTTTATAATCATCAGTCTTAGGGTCTCAAGAGCGCGATTAAAAAAATCGATTCATAATTTTTTTTAAGATCGGACTGTGTTTTTATTCAGGACTGTTAGTGAAGCTTGAACTGAATAAATTTCAAAACTTTTAAATTGGAAAGATGATACTTAATGTGAATCGGGTATATGATTGCTAAAAGATGATATAATTTTTTGATCATATGTGACGACATACATCGGGAAGTTGAAATTAATTCAACATCGATACTTGAAGTAACAATAATTTTCCAGGTTACTGACAGCAGGCACGATCGAGGAGAAAATCTACCATCGGCAAATCTTCAAGCAGTTCCTAACAAATCGGGTCTTGAAAGACCCCAAACAGCAGCGTTTCTTCAAAACCAATGATCTATTTGAACTTTTTTCTCTCAATGAAGGCGAGGAAGAAAAAACGGAATCGTCAGCTCTGTTCGCCGGACTCAACTCGGACGTCATCCCTTCCAAAGTTGCGCGCAAGGCAAGGAAAGACGAGAGCCGCCATGTAAAGCGATCTGTAGACGGAGCCAAAAAGCGTGCAAGACCTCAATCTATGTCTTCCCGGGAGAAAGATAAGGCAGAACCAAAAGACGAGTTACGTAAAAAGAGAATAAAGCGAGAAGAAGTTTGTTCCAAAAAAGAACTTAGCTCGAAAAGCCTACTGCAGCAAAATGACGCCGAGAACTTGAGTACTATTGCGTCAATCAAAGACGAAAATTGTAATGAATATGACGTTGAGAAAAGCAACCTAGCCAAAAAATCTAACGTAAATATCGGTAATGAGACAGGTTGTAGCATTGAAAATCCTGAAGATGGTATATCGATCGGTACTAAATCCTATCTCTCTCTTTCACCATCAACTCCCATCGGCCAGAGAGAAATTTCCTCGCCAGTTTTAAAGCGTGCATTGTCAGGCGAGGAACCGAATCCCTGCGTCGCAGCTACTGGAAATCTTGATGGTGTATCTTCTTCAACGCTACTACAGAGTGACGGAGTGGAGAAGGCCGAATTAGAAATCACCGAAGAAACTTCTATGAAAGACAATAAAATCTCAGCTTCAGAAGCTTTTTCTGGTTTATCGAGTGATGGCTTTGAATTAAAATTAAATAACTGCAAATCTGCTGCAGAATCGGAAGAACAAACTTGCCCATCGTCAAACGAAAAAATACTTGTACCTCCCATGCCGCCTGGTTCTCATTCCGAAGTACTAGAAAGTATAGAATCTGAGAAACCTTTATCTCCGGTCCAGCATGCGCGTGATGCAACACTAGACTCTCCAGCAGTCGAAGACAAGGATGCTGAAATCAAGAGGGAAAAAATGCGGATGCTTGCAAGAATGCTGAGCAAAAAAATAGGGTCAAAAAGTAGTGCGTCAAATGAAACTTCTTCGTCGTCCAGGACAAAACATGAAAGTATGAGCGGCGTTGAAAAAGCTCATTCCGGTAAGATAAAAACCGATCATAGACGTGGCCTGGGAAATAATTGCAGACGTGGTCGTAAATTTGAAGGGGAGCGGATAAGTTACCTTGTGAAGAAGAGGAAAGCCAAAGGTCTTGAAGACGAAAAAGCAGAAGACAGTAAAGCGCAAGACGACTACGTGCTGTCTAAACTTTTCAAAAGGTCTGGCGTGCACACAGCCTTAAGCCATGATGCCATCGTAAATTCCAGCGATCCAGACTATTTGCTACTTCAGTCTGAAGCTGATCGAGTTGCTAAAGAAGCCATGAAAGCTCTGAGAGCCTCGAGATCTCGCTGCCCGACTCTGCAGCCTCCTAAACCGAATCCAATCCGATTTGGAATCGGTTCTTCCGACATGTCTGAAATACCGAGGTTCAACGATGACAAACCGCGAGCAGAGAAAGATACGGTCGAAGACACCTTTACTTTAGGAGGCTGTTCATTCGACAGCGAAGGCAGCGGAATGATGTCCTCGAGCCAGCTTCTGCAGCGCATTCGTGAGCGCCAGACTCGTCTCCGTGGCACCAACGACGATGAACGAGAGAACGAAGAGGTTTCTGGTTCAAGCGTTGCCGTAGAACTTGATGCCACCACCTCCGCTAACCTCGATCTTCTCAGCGACATCAGAAACTTTGTAGCTTTCCAAGCAAGCACTGATGGGAGAGCATCTACCAATGAAATTATTGACAAGTTCCGAGCTCGCTTACCGAAGGAAAAGACGCATATTTTCAAAGCTCTGCTCAAAGAAATATGTGATTTCCGGAAAGATAACGGCCAGGGTTTTTGGTATATCAAGCCTGAGTTTCAATGAGTTATAATTTCTTGATCAATACAAGTATCTTCTTTGAACGTGGAATAAAAAATAGTGCTTTCCTCCTGTACGGTCGGGCTCTCTTCTAAAATGCTAGTCGTTCATCAACGGAATTTTGTTAGTCGATACTATTAATTTGCATTTTTATTTTACTTTAGTTCAAAGGAAATTAAAATATATATTTCGTTTCATATCGATATATTTCTAATGAGTTGAACATCCGTCCTCGCATGCATTAGATAATATACGAGAACAATTGTTCCGTGCATCATAATATGTGTCGTGATTTAACAAAGTGTCATAGGACAATTAATCATTTGAAATCGTTCTAAATAAACTGTTCTATCACATGAATAAGTTAACAGTTGATGCAACTTCAAACGAACTGTGATAACGGATGTTTATAAGTTCTATTTTTCAGGAGTACGACGCCTCCACGAGCTGTTTAAGTTAGATTAATTTATGTTGAAAAGGACTCCATAAACGTGTAGCTCAAATTTAAATAGAAAGCTGTTTTACTTGGATTATTTTATGTTGATAAAGTGATAAAGGAACTCCACAAACGTGTAGCTCAAATTTAAATATACCATTTTCAGGTGGTGTAGCTAAATTTTTTAGACAAATCCTATTTCAATGAGAATTAAACCGTGAGTAGCGTTTGTTACAAATCCTGGGACCTGACTGAACATAATAATAATAATTGTTGGCAATATCGTTTGTAATTTTTAAAACTTGGTGATTTCGGCCATTCGCGAATTGTATAGACAGTCACAAGCTGGAAGGCCGATCTTTGGCAAACATCACGAAGTATCGTTCGTAGCTGTTAAATAATACGTATTAAAGAGATGCACAAGACGTACGAAGCTAATGCAGTAACAGAAACGGGTATCAGCTGGTAGTGGAAGACTCGTTTCCCAATGCATTACACACTACAAGAGGATTACTCGGCAATAAATCACAGTATAGAAAATACAATCAATTACAATGTCGTAAGGCACTTTCAAATACCTTCGATGATAATCGTCAATAAACAAATATGCAAAACGTTGCAGCATCAACACACCTCCTAAATTATCATTTCCTTCAGCGCTGAGAGGAGGGGAGTTCGCCCTTGCAACATTCAAGAATTCAAGAGACGAATGGACAAGTGGTTGAGAAAGATCCCGGATTGTCCGGTAATGGGAAGCCACCCTCAGCAAGTGACAAGCAACAGCATCTTGCATCAGCTGGCCCAAAGGAGGGCATATGTACGGAACACGTCCAACGTTACATCCGGGACTCGATGGCGGGGTGACCTGCCTAGCGACGACTCGGAGACGGAAGACGACGAAGGCGGAGCATCAGCTTAACCGCGGACAACGACGTCCTAAACGCATCACAAGATCAGGTTACATTCAAATTAAGAAACTAGTTTCATTCCATCAATGATGTGACCAACGACTCAAACTCTTACCATGCTATGCTTAGCCGCCATAAACGCAAGTGAAAATGAACGTTAAGAGTCGTCATGTACAATTGTTAGTTATTTCAACCTTACATAAAAATTTTTACTGTCCAACACAAGACAATCTAGCACCGATTAGCAACAGTTGCCTCACGCCACACACCTGGTCTCTCCAGCCCAGCGTTAAAGTTAAATTCAAACCGTAAATGTGCTCAGTGCGCTGATTAGTATCACGTTGAGTAAATAGAATAGAATAGAAGTGTCGGCATTGAAGAAAATAGGCCCATGGCCTGTTGCCGATTCTTGAATTTTTCGTGACTTGATTCAAAAGGGATCCGGCCTTTGGAACCCGATCTTTCCATAACTGACGATTGATTGAGATAGCTGCTGGACTTAGTGCCTGGTCCGTAATTTGCTAGGCATTTCTAGACTGAACATGAATTGCTATATATTAATGACAAACGTCTAGTATTAGTGATGCGCGGTGACTGTACGGAACGTCCAAGTGATGGCGATCACAAAAATTCGAGAAACTCTGGTTTCTTAAAATAGCAAAACTAACTTGGTCGTCAGAAGTCACAATCTAAGAATTGCTAGGCTAAACCTTGCGAGAATTGACCAGAGTATCAGCAGTCTTCGAGTATTCAGTAATTCAAGATTCGGTTCATCCGTGTGACAATTACATGATATAATTAAGAAAACCTGCGCTCTATGCGGTGCAAAAATTTACAGCTCGCTTTATTTAGTTATTGGAGAGTGAATTGTTTGAAACGTGAAATGAGTTCCGAGAAATCCCTATCTTTCAAACCGCAAGACATCTAATCCTGTTGCATCGCAATCGCATACATCATGCATACAGAACAATACACAAAAGACACGGATAAATCGGGATAATCGACCAGTTTACATGATCGTCACACAAACAAACAGAGAGCATAAGACAAACTTTGTTTAATGAAGTTATGCAACTAATATAATGACAGGATAGCTGCAAAATTATTTCGAATAAAACTAAACATTCACATTTATCAGAGTCTTGCGTTTCTTTCAATGAACTTTAAATAGTCGCTTTTACCACACGGATATCTGGAATACGAATACCATTACATCGGTACGTCAAAGCTTTACAGACTAGCATCTGACACTTCAAGTGATACAAATTATACCTACATTCAATTCATAAACCCAACGGGTTCACAATACCGCATTCGAGAACAACGGAATCAGAGTAAATTCTGCGTCTTGACCTGGATAATACAACTCATATTGATGGTTAATTCATGTCGTAGGAACATTGGACTGTTTGTAAAGGCTAACACGATCATTGTACATTATGTAATTTGGCGTGCAATAATTTCCAGCTGCTCGGTACAATGCACTTTACCCCACAAGGGGAATAAATTTTCCATTTCGAACAAAACGCTTGGTCACAGCCTTCACATAATATGTCGCCTTAAAAGCTATTCGCCGTCAAGAAGTATCTCAACCTCCCGAACGGCCAAAAAGCTGCGTTTTCCCCCAAGGCTATGTGATCGTCGGGGAAAATGTAACTGCACAGATAACAACGGAAAAAGAGAATAGGTAATCAACAGCGAAAACAAAAAAAGAAAGGGTGAAGAGGAGCTAAAAACGAAAATGATGGATGAACAAAAGCAAAAAACGAAGAAGAGATAAGTGAACAATAGCAAAAACGATAGGGATGGCAACAAACAGAAACAAAGACGGGATAGATGAACTCAACAATGGGATAGAACTGAATAGCAGGAAAAAAACACTCGTACAAGAGTCAATCAAATGCGCCTGCTCTAGAATTTAAATACAGAAGTGGAGGGCATCCTAGCGTTACCACGAAAAAATATCTCAGTACTCACTGCAGTGAGTGAAAGAGAGCGCATTTTCTCGTCGACGAAAACTTGAGGTCACGGACGGACGGACGGACGGACGGACAGACGGACAGACGGACAGACGGACATGGCTAGCACAATAGTGTATTTTTTCCATAAATGAGAAAATGCGCTAAAAAGACTCGCTGTCAGAGATACCACGAGCTAAGCGGCGGGGCGCATAGGCACAGTCCAGAGCACGTGGAACCACATGAGACTACTAACGGTAACGACACCAGAAGACCTTCACGAAAAGCGAGAATCTTGTATCAAATATCTTACGCATGCTCACGAATAGCATGAATTAACGTAAAATAACGACTGTTCGGTTACAAATAAGTAAAATTCCATTCAAACGAGCTTCTTCAACACCGTAAATTTTCTCGAAAATAGAATGCAATGACTAACTATACGTTGGACTCGTGCAGTTTGTCCAGTTCCAAGACGCTCCGACTCCCGCCCACAGCTTCAGTTCTCGACTGCTGAACGGCGTTTGGTACACTGAAGTTAGACACGTCAAATGCACTATGGAGGCCCTCGTCGTTATGAATTTCTGTCAGTGTCAAACCACCAACACGCGTAACGCCTGGCTTGTGATAGCCGCACGGTCGGTCGTGATCACCCATGCTTCTGTTCTCTAATTCACGCATGAGAGCGATTCTGTACATCTCATAGCTCATGACGACATTGTGCAACTCCTGCTTGAAAAGTCTGTTGAGCATTGCTTGGTAACAGTCTAGTTCTGGAAGACGGAACATGTGCCATTGGAGCTTGTGATCCAGCTTAGGGTCAGCTAGAGAATACACTCGTAGCCAGTAAGGAATTTCTGCATGTAGGTACGGAGAGGCTGGCATCAGCGACAGGGACTGTCGGAACTCGGTGTGAAAAGGTATAGGCAGAGGGCAGTTTCGGTTATCATTAGCATTAAGTTTGTCTAAGAATTTGGGCATGTACTGTTGCGCACATGGATTTTCGTATTGTGCCTGTCGAGTGAAGTGGTTTACATAGTAAACTCCATGTTCGTAAGATTCGATTTTCTCCCAGCCCGCTGGAAGTCCTTCTTTTTCGAATGGATGAGACCAGTGCGTCGTTTTAGTGTTGTGGTCAACGTAGTATTTCCGTCCCTTTTGAGTAAAGTCAATTGACCATCCTGGAGGGAGGTTTTCTTTTTCATGAGATGGTTCGCTAGGAAGTGAAATTGGAAGACTCAGTTGCGAACAAGAGACCTTATTGGACGTGAAGCCATCGCAATACGATGCATTTGAATTGGAAGACAAATATTTATTGACACCCGACGCATCCGCATTATGATTACTGTGATCAACGAGAATTGGTAGAGACGAATTAAGCAGGTTAGGGGAAGATTTTGGGGCTAAAGCAAACCGAGGAGTGGAAGAACTGAACAAAGTAGACGGTTGCCGACACGGCGAATAGAACTGCTTCATGGGTGGCAACGGAGATATGGGAACCGATCCTTTGCGGTTACGTGGAGAATCGACACGATCTGCACTAGCATTCAACGCGGCGAGAGCAAGTGAAGATCTAGAAGTCGTTTCATCACTTGCACGCTGTAGACGGTAATGTGAGGACGGCGAGTAGAATGAATTAAAAGAGTCCGATTTGCGTCCGGTAAACATCTGGTCTGGTGGCAAGTTGGGTTTATTGAAATAGTACTGAAAGTTAATTTGATCATGGCTACCTCCTGGATCATTAAAAGTTCTGTCTAGCAATCGATCAGACCTTCTGACTGAACTCATCTGCCTAGGCGAAGACAGAGCTGTCATCATCCCATGTGAATTATGATAACTTTCATTGTACGACACATTTTCCAGTCCTTGTGTTGGCCTAAAGTCATTAGTATGTGAATATCTTCCAGCAGGATTTTTTAGCACAAGATAATTTGATTTATAAGAGGGTGATAAATTGGACTGCTGATAGCTTGGGCTCAAAGGCATTTGTTTGTTACTGGAGAGCATTGATTGGTGTTGATAATTCGGAGTATGAGCCATGTATTGGTAGTCTTGAAGAGGGCCAAAACTTTGAGGACGAGGAGAATGTGTGATTGGGTTGTTTGATACATTTTTCTGTGATGCATGCAATTCATCTTCGTCACTTGTCCAGACATTTTTGATAGAGACAGGTGGGAGAGAGTCTCTCTTCTGGTATCTGCCAGCAAGTGAAGTGCAGCTTGAGCTGATATCTTTGTCTTTTTTCTTCGAACTGCTCAGCATCTTGACCCCAATGATCTGAAATTTTAGAAATATTGGTAGACAAATATTTATATTGAACAAAACACAAAGGGAAATAAACATAAGCACATTACCTCAAAATTTGACCAAACATATATAATCAAGGAAATATCTCATATTGTATCAAGTTTGATACCTATTTCAAAATATTAACTCTCCAAGTTTAGATTATTCCTACTAGTAATTCAAGTCTTGCAACTGCTAAGTGACACATTATTGGTAAATTTGGGACCTCATAAGTCATAGCTTGATCATCAACTTTTGTTTACCATTGGGTAAGCAGCAATTCAGCTATCCAGAAATTTGCAGTTCCAAAAATTGTGTGAAAGCTCATGTCATGACTTTAAAAGTTGTCATATTCCATGCCTGTTATCTCCTATTTAATTTTTAAAAGTGTGTTGGATCTGGTAGCCTCTGTGTAGAGTTGGCAAGATCAGCCTTTTAGACCCAAAACATTATTGTATTATCAAGGGTTAATCAATGTAACTACCTAAACCTTCAAGATCTCTTTACAAAAATACAAGTAAAGAACAATTTTAAGGGAAATGTTTTTATGATCTTCTGAACTTCTTTTCGAGTGTTTGGTAATAGTAACACCAAGATCCAATTTCTAGGCCTAAGGCTTCTAAATGCTGATAGTATTTTGAAGGTAAAAATATGAAGTTTTTTTGTATTGTTTTCAATAAATCGTGTAAAGGTACTAAAAATTGAGAAAATTTATTGCAAGCATCCAATTTGGGTTATTAGGGAGATGTTTTCTTAAATTGAGGGTTAAAACCGTAAATGGAAAATTTGGCGGTAGTCACCCGTGAATCAAACAAAAATGCCAGTAAATCTGGCTAATTCTACTCATTCCTATGGCCTTATCCCAATTTCATTAAAAAACAGCCTATTTGCATCTGCAGTTTTTGAAAATCACCTGTAGAACAAATGCTTTTATTTGCAATTTTAGGAAACTTCTGCTCTATATTGCAACATAGGTAAAAACGATTGTTTCACTGTGATCTTTGAAAAATCACAAATAGAAATAGGCTATTATTTTTTGCTGAATAAATTGGGAAAAGGCTACAGGAATGGGTTAAATTTGCCAGATTTACTGGTGCTTTTGTCCATTTCACCAAGTTCCCACTTAGCTTCAGCCAAATATCGCTCATTTGGCAAGCATGGGCGTTTTTGTTATATTCATGGCTCATGGGTGACTTCTGCCTAATTTTTCCAATATGTCAATAAGAAGTCCAAACTAGAAAATATGACAAAAGATGCACCCATAAATGAAACAAAAATGCCCATGCCAATGGAGCATTTCACTTGTTTCTATAGCCTTTGCTAAATTCCTTTGTTTAAAATAAAGAAAAACATCATATTTTTGTCTGCCCTTTCGAAAATTACCTGCAAAAGATCATTTTTACCCATAATTTCCATAAAATTCTGCCTAATATTCCAAAGCAGTAAGTAGTCAGGCTGATCAACTAAGTACAAATGACACACAAACCAGAAACCACAACAATCGAAACAAAATGTTAGACCAGCAGTTTTGCTTGCGAAGGACATTTAGTTTTTAAAGTCACATCCAACTGGCAGTATAATTTGACCAGCTCGGGCAGGAAATTAACGATAAAAACTTTAATTATGACTTGAAAAACTAATGATAATAATGACTTGTTTTTATTAACGACTTGATAAAAAACTTTAATATTGAAACCTAAACCTATAAATGATAGTTTTTCCAAATAAAAGTAGGAAAAATTGGTCCATTTTGGAGACATAATTTAATAAAAGAAAAAATTCAAATATTTTTCACTTTCATTTGTACCTATTCCATTTATATTTATATTGTAATGTTCTAAATTTTTTGAGAAACTTAAAAAAAATTTTTTTGTGCACAATTTAAAATACTTGTTTACACACTTGCAATCAACGACCAGAGAATTTGTTGATTTATATTATCAGTGAGTGGTAACTTTCCTTCAGATGACGGCAGATTAAAAGGCAAGTTTCAGGAAGTAATTCTTATTTATAAACGATATTTTGAATGCAACAAACATTCATTTTTAAGTTAGAAGAAGCATTAAACATTGAAATTTTGGTGAAAATAAGTACATAATATAAGTAAATAGGATACAACAGTAAACTTTTAGACCAAAAATTACTCAGAAATTCTTTCAGAGTTCAGCTATTGCCACTCGGTTGTTGTTAGGCCACTGCTTGATCATGATGCTGATGAGTACCTTCAGCCCATGGTCAGGAAGATGTGCCAGGTGCGCGGGAATTTATTTTGTCATTTTAACGACCTGCGCGGTGCGCCGTACTATGCTGGTAAAAAAATGCGCCGTGCGCCGTACTTTAGAAAGCTAAAATAGTTCTACTATTTTAGTCGACAATATACGCGAGTATATTGACTATGCGAGTCGAACTGACAATAATAAAATGTAAGACATGTCCGGCCACCGGGTTACTTCTGACTCTTCTGCTTGTCCACCTTGTCGGATACGGAACATACGGTAATCGTAAACTGCGGCTATTATACATACGAAATGTAAACAGACGGTGTTCAGTGTTGCCATATGACTTTGGAGAAAATTTCTTCTATGATAAAGTTCTAGACTTCTCATTCACCAAATTTCCGTATCAAGAAAAATCATATACGGTATTATTGAAAGATAATTAAAGGCATACTGTACTGAGTAATGTGAGTATTACGTCTGTTCCTCCACAAACTGCTCGTGCGCGGCAGCGCAACGTAGAATTGATGGCCGGGATTGCGCGAACACGTGCGCGAAGAGAATCAATTTTCATTACATTGCGCCAACTGTGCACAGCAATAGCTTAAAAAAATGAAAATGAGTGGGAAAATTCACCGAAAACATACATCATCCTGAGTGTGGCCTTCAGCACAATGCGAGTGATGGTCTGGTTGTAAGCTTGTCTTGCGTGATTCACCTGCCCTCCAGTTTGAAGGTACTTAACGAGACAGCGGCTCGGTGTCTTGATTGTTAGTCCAATTTGTCCGATGTTGTCTAAAACATGAAGAAGTCTACAACCTTTTTTGAAGCAAAATTTATAGACTACACCGGCCTCTCGGATAAGTCCCGCATTTTTGCGTTTAGTTTGGAATTTGATATTGTTGTCAAGAGTGTCACAAAGCCTGTTGAATTCATTGTCAATTTTGAGATGAACTTGCTTGGTAATAATGCTTTAAGGCCTGGTATGGTAGTGAGCTTGTCTCTGGTGGTAGGAGAATCAGCAGTTCAATGTTGCAGTTGTCACTCCAATAACTCCAATGTAATCCATAACGTGAAGAATTCTACAACTTTCTTTGAAGTAAAATTTATAGAATACACCTGCCTCTTGGAGAACTCTTGCTTTTTTGCAGGAGCTGTTGTTTGGCTTAGCCCGGGGTTTGATTTTGTTGCCAAGGGTGTCATGCCAGTCACGGTGCCAGTCAAATTCATCGCTGATCTTGAGATGATGCTGCTCGAGTCAGTCGAGTGTAATACTTTGAGACCTGGTCTGGTTTTAAGCTTGTCTCTGGTGGTAGGAGAAACGGCTGTCCAATGTCATAGTTGTTACTGCAATCACCCAAATTGCCAAATGCAATCCAAATAATGAAGAAGTCTACCTACAACCTTCTTTGGGGCAAAATTTACTTTAAAATTTAATATTTAATTCTCTGGTCATTGATTGCATGTGTGTAAACTGTAAAGGAATAAATCATGCCATCTAATATTAATTGACAATACTTACTATACATAACTCAACTAAATTTGGACTAAGTCAGGCAATTTGGAATAAAAACTTTTTTTAAATCTCTCATTTGCAACTGCCCTACTATACCATGGTCAGGAAGATGTGCCAGGTGCGCGGGAATTTATTTTGTCATTTTAACGACCTGCGTGGTGCGCCGTACTTTGTTGGTAAAAAAATGCGCCGTGCGCCGTACTTTAGAAAGCTAAAATAGTTCTACTATTTTAGTCAACAATATACGTGAGTATATTGACTACGCGAGTCGAACTGACAATAATAAAATGTAAGACATGTCCGGGTTACTTCTGACTCTTCCGGTTGTCCGCCTTGTCGGATACGGAACGTACGGTAATCGTAAACTGCGGCTGTTATACATACTAAATGTAAACAGACGGTGTTCAGTGTTGCCATATGACTTTGGAAAAAATTTCTTCTAAAATAAAGATGGCCGGGAACCCGGGATTGCGCGAACACGTGCGCGAAGATAATCAATTTTCATTACATTGTGCCAACTGTGCACAGCAATAGCATAAAAAAAGTGAAAATGCGCGGGAAAATTCACCGAAAACATACATCATCCTGAGTGTGGCCGGTATTATTGCAGATTAACTACATCCAAAAAAAAGGGTGTTTTTTTTTTTAATTATATGTTTTTTGGGGTGTAGATTACGAATCTGAAATCCATTTTTGGCGGTCGGCATCGGAAAACCGATTTTTTTCGCGACTTACTAACATGGGGGTTACGTAACTTACGTTACCCACTCACCTTTAGTTAATCTGCAATAATACCATCTACACCCCAAAAAACATATAATTAAAAAAAAAAACACCCTTTTTTTTGGATGTAGTTAATCTGCAATAATACCGTGTGGCCTACTTATACTATGGCTAAATCGCAAATGGCATCCAAAACCGTCCAGCTAAAACCTAAAAGATACTCCAAATTCCAAAAATTATCTTCTTACCAAATAAAAACTGTTGTAATTTATACTTTAGGTAAAATTAGATGGCAACTAACCTTATATACTCCAGATTTATGATATTTGTCACTTAGTTACAAGGCAGCCTGGCGCTGGTAGTGAGTTTTTTAGACTCTCTCTTAAGACTAAGTTCACTTTTGAGTCCTAAAAGTAAAAGTATCAAGTAGGTAGGCCAGCAAAGCAAAGTAGGACTATCATGGATGCCAGTTTTATCATACATAAGATTTTGGTTTAAATCTTGGGTAATTGAGGAAATTGAAAATGAACTGATTCTAAAAACTCTCTGGCTCGTCACTATGATTTTATTAAGCTGCCTTGATAAGAGAGCCCGGACGTCTGAGTTCTAGGTAGGATAACGAAGGGTTCGGAACCAATGCTCGCATTCAACTTACAAGACGCTATTTTGACACATAAACATCATTTCCGCTGTAGCGGAAAATATTGTAATACAACACGGAATCACTAATACGCGAGTGGAGTGTTATAAAATTAACAAATAATCACAATCTAGATTTATCGCGACAAACTGCGCTGGTGAGAACTAATGATAAATAACAAATATCTAAATAGAGTAGGGTGCGTGAATCAACTTTCATCATAAATGGTTAATAAACACTGCTAAAAACAAAGCAAAATTATATTTGAATTACTGTTTATGACAATACATAAGTCATGCATTATATTATTTTATTTATACATAAAACTATTCTGAATCTTGAAATTGTTGAAAAAAAGCCGCGAATCAATGTAAAGTGAAACTTAATTATAGCAGTTTCAGCTTTGCAGATTAGGCCATTAGGACTGTTGCCAATTCCAAACATCGCAGAATTTTCACAGTTACTTGCAGGTCTCGAACAAACCAATCACTGCTACAATATCAATTGTGTTAACCCACTGTTGATATCGAACCCAAAGATCACTGTTCCAATTCTGGTGCAATGAACTTGAACCATTACCGCCCAGCCATGATTAATAATAAAAGTAATAATAATAATAGCGGTTTCGGCGTTTAGTAGGCCGTAGGCCTGTCGCCGATTCTTAACATCGCAGAACATTCACAGCATTTTGCGGTCTCGGACTCGCAACTCACTGCTACAATTCATTCTGCTGTGCTTAACCGCCCGGCCTCCTCGCCGATTCTGACCAGAAACTGGCGCACAGAGCTGGGATCGAACCCGCGCCTTTTCTGCTCCAATCTTGGTACTCTGAAATGTAACCACTGGGCCACCCTCAGATCTCAGATTCCTGACTTCAAGGATATTCACAAAAGTTGCTTCCATGAAATTATTTACTTGTCCGTTTCAAGTCGATAAAAAAGTAATTAACTTGTAACTAAGGTTTTTAACGCTATTGGGACTAGAAAAATAGTTCAGCCGCTCACCCAATCTCACTTCATTAAGGAAAGTAATGTAAATTCTCAATTTCTTAATTCATCATCGCAGACTGAATTTTGATTTAAAATCCATTTGACAGGAGCTGAATATTTACATATATGTAGTTCATACCAGCGGTAACAACTAACAATCCCACTATATTACCTTAGTTCGAACAACTCCACGGTTTTAAAGAGCTTTGTCGCAAATAAAATTCATAGCCACATTAACAAACAAAAACACTAAAAATATAATATCTAAAATGCACATTTTTCCCTCTTACCTCATTGGCACGTTTTCTCGTACTAAAAAAAGTAAAACATCGATGGGCAGTAGAACACTAGAGGATTTTTTATATTTTGGGCGATAGCTTGGGTGCTTGCGATGTCGCGGTCCTCTAGAATAAACCTAGAGAAGGATAAACATTGCTGCTTTATTGCGATGCCGCGGTCCTCTAGAATAAACCTAGAGAAACATAAACATTGCTGCTTTATTGCGATGTCGCGGTCCTCTAGAATAAACCTAGAGAAAAACAAACATCGCTGCTTCATTTATCTTGAGGACCCCAAATGGCCACAAAACCTGGACTTATAAGTGACCCGATCACCATCCCGGCACCCATCACAGCACCCATGATTGTGCCCGCCAACTCCTTCTCGAATGGCTCCACGAAACTGTCAATGATAAAAAAGAAATTAATCAATTAAGTCCATCATAATCAAGTACAAATTAATTCCTATTCATTGCTAGTTCAGGCCAATCTGTGAGTAAGTCTCGATTCACGATTCATCGAAAAATATATATCGTCAAACTATCGTCAGTCATGAAAAGATCCGGTCAAATGACACGATTTTAGATCTTCTGTGAACAAGGCACGAAAAATAAAAAGGATCGGCGACAGGCCACATCAGGCCTACGCTTCAGCACAGAGATCACTATGTTATGTTATGTTATGTTAAGCTAAGTCTGGTGGAGACGAAGCATAAATCTTAATAAATTCATAACTTTTAAGGTAAAGGTAACAATTAAAAGGGTATAACATAAGGTAACAATTAAAATCAGTAAAACAATTTAAATTAAATAATAAGTACTAACTCAGGATAGTAAACAAGAGGGAGACACCCGAAGTAGCCGTTTGTGACGCCGAACAGTAAGTTAAGGAAAATGTAGACACCGTCGCTGTAGAAGAGTGTGGGGAATGTTTTGTCCACGCCGTAGCAGAACATGATGAGAATCGCTATTATTATTCGACAGCAGCTCAGGGTGGGCAGCAGCCAGCTTCTGGCTCTAGGCTGAAAATAAATGAAAATTACTCCTAGATCGATCCTGCAATGTTTTTCAACTATAATGAATACTCATAACAGAAAAAAATGACTTGATTTTTTACCTTATTTTTAGCGCATTTTCTCATTTATGAAAAAAGCCGCTATTGTGCTCGCCATGTCCGTCCGTCCGTCCGTCTGTCTGTCCGTCCGTGACTTCACGTTTTCGTCGACGAGAAAATGCGCTCTCTGTCACTCAATGCAGTGAGTACTGAGTTATATTTTTAAATTTTTAAAGGAATATGCCATGAATTTTTTGTCATCAGGATTTGTGCCTATACCTGACCACGAGTCTCACCCATCTGAGAAACCTAGGCAGTTCTCGGCCCACGAGATCACCGATGTTGAAGAGCAAGAAAGTGATGGTTGGCTGGAAGTAAACATCTTTCCAGGGCCCGTCCGGCGTGTTGGAAGTCACGTAAACTTGGACCGCAGGGAAGATGGCCAGCGTCACCAGGAGAGACATGCCCATAGTGAAGCTCAGCCTCCACACCTTCAAGGCAACAATTTGTACACAAGCTCTTAGCTTACTGAGATTTTTATAAGTAATAATGTTGACATTGTTAACAACAATCAACTAGACAGTGATGACAACAATCAGGTAACCAGTATTTACAGCATTGACAACAATCATGTTGACAGTGTTGACAACAATCATGTTGACAGTGTTGACAACAATCATGTTGACAGTGTTGGAACAATCATGTTGACAGTGTTGACAACAATCATGTTGACATTGTATACAACAATCATGTTGACAGTGTTGACAGAAACTAGGAGACGATTAGATGTAACGCCGGCACGGTTTGTAAATTATCACTCTTCGTAATCAGAAGAGTTATAAACTTGTAACTGGCATGTTTCAACAAATGTATCGAACTCCGTTATTATGCCTTCGTTACTCTTGAATGGTTTTGAACAATAACATTAAACATCTCTACTCAGCTATAAAGCAGCAGCTATCTCGAGCTATAAAGTCCAGCAGCTATCTCAATCAATCGTCAGTTATGGAAAGATCGGGTTCCAAAGGCCGGATCCCTTGTGGAATCAAGTCACGAAAAGTACAAGAATCGGCCACAGGCCATGGGCCTATTTCTTCAGTGCCTACACCTCTATTCTTTTCTATTCTATTCTATTCTTTTCTATTCTATTCTAAACAACCACGAACTTTTTTGAAGACCCTCCAGTAGTCTGCCAGAGATGTGGGCTGCTTGTCTGTAGTTACGAAGTCTTCTTTGGTGGACAAAGCGTCCTTGTAGAAAGGCTGCATAATATCATTAGAAAGATATTATTAAAGGGAAGTCTTGTATATATTATAAGGAAATATTTTATAATAACTTAGAGAGAAGGATAATAACTTAGAGAGAAGGTCCTACATAATTAGGCAATATTTAAGAAGAACTGTGATCCAATATAAATTTTGCTGACAGCTGGAATACCTCAGATAAACAAAAAATAACACATTGAAATAATTATGTATTATTCAGCACGAGCAAATAAGAATTGGATTGAACATTTATTTGGACTAGATTAAGCGGCAGAAACACGAAATTTGACTCAAGATTATTTCAATAGCCCGAGAAATTTTAGGACTTCCCAATAAAGCTCAGTTTTACACTCACTATTTTGGTCACGTTTCTCACTCACTATTTTGGTCACGTAGCTCACTCACTATTTAGTCACGTTTCTCGCTCACTATTTTATTCACATTTCTCACTCACTATTTTAGTCACATTTCTCATTCACTATTTTAGAACCGTTTATCACTCACTATTATGGTCACGTTTCTCACTCACTATTTTAGTCACGTTTCTTACTCACTATTCTGGTCATGTTCTTCACCTGTCTCTTATACACATCTCCTCTAGAATAAACCTAGNATTTCTCACTCACCATTCTGGTCACGTTTCTCACCCATTATTCTAGTCACGTTTCTCACTCACTATTCTAGTCACGTTTCTCACTCACTATTTTAGTCACGTTTTTCACTCACTATTCTGGTCATGTTTCTCACTCACCATATTAGTCATGTTTCTTACTCACTATTCTGGTCATGTTTCTCATTCACTCTTCTGGTCATGTTTCTCACTCACTATATTAGTCACGTTTCTCACTCACTATTCTGGTCATGTAATAGTAGAGGGCGATGGCTAAAAGGATGAACGCATCAGCGATGCAGAAATATATGATGCCTGTCCTTACGGGGTCTGCATCACCGATCTATTAAACAAATATTAGAATATGTTAAATAACATTATTATATTTGATAGATTATTTAAAAAATATACTGAATATTACGATGGTCTATGGAGGAATAATATTTAATTTTGATTTTTAGTTCGAAAACAGCATTTGAACGAATCTAAAAACCTTTAGATTAACTATTTAAAAATTTATGAACTAATCCGTTCAGTCTCCATGCGCCAGTAATGTCTTCAGTTAAATGCTATAAAAAATACTACGATTGCAATGCTGATTACGGACAGAATAACTTGCAAACAAGTCCTTTAATGGATGAATTCTTCAAGGTTGAAATAACATAATTATCGCTACGAGCGGTCTGAGAATTTTAATTAACGATTAAATGCGTTATCAGCAAGTAAGAGAATGCAAAGGCTGGAGGGAACATAATTGAACTATCAAGGATGTTGTGTTGCTGTGTTGTCATATAACTGTAATGTCAAAATGACCTTTTAAATAATAATAATAATAATAATAATAATAATAATAATGATAATAATAATTATAATAAAAATATTAATAAATAATATTAAAATTTATAATAATGATAACAACAACAACAATAGAAATAATAACAATAATAATAACAATATCAATAACATCAAATATAATAAAAGCAATACTGATAATAATAATAGAAACAATAATGAAATAATATTCACGGCAAGAGATATGATCTGCGCAACGCTGGAGAAGACGCCGGCCCAAGCCATGCCGGACACGAGGGCGTTGGTGCAGTGGCTGGGCAGCTGTCCTGTGATGCCGTACAGCGACCCTTGGAACACTGCCTCGAAACCTGACCAGTTTTGATTATATTGATATTAATATCATCTACATATATTATTGGTAATTGTTTTTAATTTGTTATTATTGAAAAATATTCATTTACATTTTTTTATTATTGAAAAATATTCACTTATAATTAGGACTTATGCACAATTATACAAATATTAGAATTAGGAACATATCTTTTGCAGAAATTCCGGAATATTGCTCGGAAATTTCCTAGGTATTTATAGCAACACCACCTTGAAAACTGACCAATTATTTTATTTCAAACTTCAGTAAAAGTTAGGTACAAATCTGTTGAAAATTATTGAATAATTAAAGCACTAATAATTAGAGGAATTAAAATCATTTTGTTCTTCCTGTACTACTCGTATTTCATTCAGTAAGACACTTGATGCACTCGCGAACTGTAGCAATGCATTACTACATTCTCTCAAAATATATTGTTTCGTTTCAAAATTACCATTTAAATTTGTAATATGTGACATAAGTAAGTACTAGAACAAATGACTAATCAAAAGATTAAAATTTTATTTGAGTTTTACGAAGTGGTACCCGTCCATACCCTATTTGAGGTGATCAGGAAAAATGTATCAATTAACCAGCATTGTCATACATTTTATAGTCACGGTCATGTACACGCACCAAAAAATTAGATCAGTCCTCAATGCAGTGAGTGACAGAGAGCGCATTTTCTCGTCCGTCCGTGAAGTCACGGATGGACGAATTAGTCACGGACGGACGGACATGACGAGCACAATAGCGTTTTTTTTCATAAATTAGAAAATGCGCTAAAAAGGCTAGTAAATACTGTAACGTATAAATTAATTGCAAATTATCTCATACATACCGCTGTTGGTTCCATCCCTTTTATAACAAAAAGTTTCGTTCCGGTCCAATCATATATAAAAATTTTGTTCACAAGTATAAGTGAGCAAGGTTACTAGCTTAAAGTCACTATCATGGCCTGAAGAAAAATGACACATTTGAAGTGACAGCTACGGAAAAAACGTCACGAGTTCATATACATAAAAAGATTGCGCCCGCGAAAAAAAACATTCCGTGTCGAGAACCACTGTCACCAATAAAATTCCCAACAGTCCTAATTAACAGTCACATTATTATACAGTTATGAATTGAGGGATTCTATATATTCGTCAATGAACTCTAAGGAAAAAACTCAAAATGGTAGATCGAACAGTAACAAAACTGAAGAAATAAAAAACGACGCCATCAGAATTACTATTGCAATAAAGCATTGCTTCTTATCAAATTTTAACGAAAATTATGAACTTATTCTAAAGAAGTGAATGTTGTCGCCTGTGGCTGTAAACGCATAAAGTAAATCAAAATAAATAAATTGACGGAAATTCTAGAAATTCGGAAAATTCGAGGAAATTTTAGCGTGAATTCGAAGAATGAAAGTGAATAATGTGAAGTACGTCAGGTCTACGTACGTACCGTTCAGCACGGCCACGATGATGAGCACCAGCACGAAGAACGCAGTTTGCCCTGAAAGAATAAAGACCGTTGTTTCGTTAGTGAAAATTGTTAATCAATATTTTCGTTGTTGCAGTTATTATTATATGAAAATTATTATCAAACTCTTTATTTTCGTCAAGTGATCGTAAACTATGAAGTTCTTTTGGATTTTCATTGAGTATTTAAAAGCTTCTATAAACTAATTAGTTAAGTTATTGACCATTCAACGTATTGATCATTGACCATTGTGCTCGTAGCGGCATTATTACCATAACTCTTAACTGATGCATTAATAGAACTTCCATTATAAATTTCCCCCTTAAGAATTTGAAACAACTTACAGTGGTTTGAAGGTAAATTTGTGCAACTGATGTAGCAGATGAATAACAAACCTTTCCCCAATGTTAATTTAACGTAAATTAATACGAAAATAATATAATAAAATCATACCGTCTTTTAAGTTTTAACTATGTAATAAATCATAGCGTCTTTTAACAAAGCAAAACACATTTTAACAATTGAAATATAAAGAATATCTACTGTGACAGGACATTAATAAGTCCCTGGCGTGGATGGCAGTCGCTGCCAGCGGCTAAACACATGTCACATGCACTTAGGTGTGACATGCATGACTGACTGCACAAATCGAACCATTCAATGACCGACTGCACAAATAGCACCATCGTGATTACAAGTTCGATAGTTTCACGAGTTATTTCAATACCATGCCGAGTTTTTTTTACTAGATTACAAGTTCACCGAAATTTGAAAAGGACAAAAATTTAGTAGAGAGTGTTCAAAGACGCGCAACAAGGATAGTTCCGGGCTTGAAAGGCAAGTCCTATGAGGAAAGATTAAAGATTATGAAGCTTCCAAGCCTCCATTATCGACGTCACTAGCAAATTACGGAGCAGGCAATAAGTCCAGCAGCTATCTCAATCAATCGTCAGTTATGGAAAGATCAGGTTCCAAAGGCCGGATCCCTTGTGAATCAAGTCACGAAAAGTTCAAGAATCGGCAACAGGCCATGGGCCTATTTCTTCAACGCCGACACTTCTATTCTATTCTATTCTAATAAGGAATAAACAAGGAGAAAATAATAAAGTTGCCTGAACAGAACGCACATGTGTCGGTGTTGACGAACGCGAAGATGGTGATGGCTCCCATGCATAGCAGCATGGCGCCCTGGGTGACCAGCATGCGTGGTACCTCTCGAATCCTGAACAGCATATATTGTTAATGGCTGTCATCATCTTAAGCTATTACTTATGATAATTGGCACGATAGGTTATCTAATTACAGGAAACTTGAGAACAGATAAGATATAAACTGTGATAAAATATACTGAAGCAAATCACTTGAAAAACGTGGAAAGAGTAGAAACCAAAACATATGGTTTAATAACGTTAGTGGGTAAACTTGAGTGACTTTTAATGACTTTTGTGACTTAGTAACACCAGTTACAAAGCCTTTATGTACAAATATCAATCACCACGATTAACGCATCCGCAGAAAAAAAGGTTAAAAGTTTATCTTTAGACGGTTATTCTAGTAACATCGGTTTTGGTACCAATCAATGTCTCCAGGGCGGCCTGGGACTGCTACGTCCGAAGCACATACTAATGATCAGTGACAACTGTTAATGCATTTGATTACAAAATTTTCCAAAAACAATAAAATGAAGACCTGGTAACGAAGTACGAAGTGAGGAGGAGGAAAGCCGAGCAGAAGACGTTAGATATGACCACAAGAGAAGGCATGAACGCGAGTTGCAGCGGCGTTAGGGTGGAGTTGTCGGAATCCCAAGCATCGCCTAGCGTCACGTTGCGTAATTTGTACTGCCAAAACTGCCGGAGCAGAATGAGTAGGCGAATAACATTCAGTTTAACAAAGATTGTGTAGACTGGGGATAAAATACATTTCGCGGCCTTAAGGGAGATTAAACCAACTTTGAATAATTTGCCTAATCTCGCAAATGTGTTTCAGCATCATAACCACTATGGAAGATCCTGGAATATCATCGGTATTTCCAAAAATGATAAATAATGGAACTTCATGGAACATCATCGTTATTTCCAATGACGTAACGTCCTGGGACATCGTCATTATTCCCAGATAGGAAAGATCATCATTATTTCCAAAAAATAAACATCATGATTATTCCCAAATAAGAAACAACATCATTATTCCCAAATAAGGAACATCATGATTATTTACAAAGAATAAACATCATAATTATTCCCAGTAATGGAAATAATTGACCATGAACTCTCACCGAGTCTGCAGTGATGAAGAAGTTCCAAGGCAGCAGCGCTGCGATGCCCAACACGTAGAGCACCAGCGTCACCGACAGCGGCCTGTGGGGGGTAGGTACTGATCACCTTCACGGATTACCGCAAATTCCTTTTAGATTCAAATTACCAAGACGCATCAACGAAATGAAAATTACATTAAATTCAAAATACTCGATTATGAAAACGGATGGAAAGTCATATGGTAGTATTATAAAACAAAGCAATTCGCATTTAATGCCTTGAATCCTTGTTGGAGTGCACAAGTTCAACAGTACGTCCACTTGGTAAAATTTTAGCGTGGTAAAATTATGCTGTCTGAATTGCGTTAATTAATCATTCGCAATATGACAATAATTATTTTATCCCTTTCGCGAGTAAGTTACCATATATGGTAATTAAAATGGGAGTCGGAAAAAGACCTCCAAGTCAGCCACATTGCTTTGGGCAGCCCGCCAACAAGCTCAAACCAATCACAGATCGTGTATGAGTTACGTCATGTATGAGTTATGACGTAGCACTCAGACGAGCTCTTACGTCTGTCTGAGTTGACTTAAAAACTAAGTACTGTGGGTGCGGAGACATGGCAAAAACGGCATTTCGGGACCTCATCGTATTAACTTTATCAGCTCTAGCTAACGATATACCGTAGGTAATTCCGTGATAGTTGCGAGTATCATAGATAAAAACTTGCTTTATTGACTGATTATGATGCCATTTACGTGAAGCAAATGCAAGATGGTGAAATTAGACTGCGAAAAATAGTGTGATTATATATGTGCATACGCCTGCCAATGCTTGGAGATAGAAGTGATTATGTTCGGACATATGCAAGCTATATAAGAAATTTCTACAGCGCTTGGTAAATATGCTTGTTAGCCCTTAGTGGTTAGCCGTACTATGATTCAGGTCATGTTTTTCAGTCGAAAGTAACTATGGTTCACCACTTAATGCTTTTCCAGACTTCGACTGCAGTCGAAGCTCTTGGCATTTTCTTCGCTACAGAACATAGAACCATAGGAGTTACAAGCAAGATTGTCTCTGCCCTGAACCAGACAATAACATGTCCTTCACAAACTCGAATTTTTGCTGATAATTTTTTTCACAAGTTGGAGGTATATGTGGTATATATGAATGTGACTCATTACAGGCAGCATGGATGTGGGTGCGAGTATCAGAAAACATAAGATCAGGATGAAGCCTTTTTTTAGTGATGAAAAAGTATCACTCAAGGTCCTAGGAGTCTCGCTGCTAATCAAAACAATCCTGAAATATCTCACCCAATACTTCCAAAGCTGTTCAGAGGACATGAAAGCCCATTTTTACAGCTCATAAAACCCTGCCATTCTTCTTCCTCCTAGAGCACTTTCCTCATTACTTGAATCACCAGACACGCAAGCACGGCAGCCAACAGATGTACATCATCAGACCAAACCTTGTGTGCTAAATGTGTGAGGTGCACCTGTATCTGAATGCATATATAAACAGATTCCTTGATGAACCAAAGTGTGTGGCATGTGATAGGTGAAAACTTGGTTTCTCGGTATGTTAATGGTCTGAAAATATCTTGCCATAATATGTACTAAAAATGCCTATAATTCAGTTCATCTTGATTGCTTCTCCTGTATGTGTTATAATGCAAGCATAAAACAGCAATCAAGGTGCTATTTACCATCTAAATAGCAAAAATAGTAAACTCTCAATGTCAAAATCAGCGAAGTCTTTTTTACCTTAAGCCGGCGAGGCCCCATACATGTATATGATCACTTCATTTATTGTGATTTACTATTTATACACGGAAATTCTTGAAAAATGCTTTTGAGTAAATATATCTTAGAATTGGTCATGCTTTCAAGCACTATCATCATATATCGCATTTTTATAGTATTTCTATGTCCGTCCGGGAAAGGGTTAGGTATAATACGAATATAATACATAATTATCAACAAACATACGTACTTGTTTTCAAAAGTCAGAAGTGAAAAAATACTCACGCTTTCACTGCAGAGTTCATGGTGAAAGCTGACGAGACGGAATCAGTTAAGATGGATCGATTAAAAGTTCAATTGTTTGCTATCAAACTCTTTTTAACATAGACATGAACGAGATATTTCTTGGTTAAGACAAAGCACGTTTGTTGAAAATAATAGGACAATAATGCTGACGACTGATTTATTTTTAACGAATTCATAACATCGTTGATATTTTTTGCCAATGCTTGAAAAATAAAGCTTGGCAAAAAACGACAAATTTTATGTTAAGAGATGTCAGCAAATCGACCAGCTAGAGAAGCCGGTCTATCGTTGTTTGCTGCTCTACAGTTGTTTGTTAGAGCTAATTTTACGAAGGTAAATTTTTCGTGTTTATTAATACCTGAAATTTAATGCAAAATAACGGTGAGTGGTGAACGTTTTGGACGCTATAAGCCGTTGTAATTACACGAAAGTTAAAAACTCAAGTAAAATCTACCTTAATTAACTGATAGTGAATATCAATAACTAATTCATCTGATACATCAAAAGATATCTATCAGATGATATTATCGTTATGCAATCCATTTCTGCTACCGAAGGATAATAAGAAGAAGATATGAGCGTAAAATGGTCTCTAAACTGTATCAAAACTCTGAACTGTATTGATTCAGCCTCTAATTAATTCAAGAGATATCTTTTTCTATTAACCGTGCATAAATTGAAGTTTCTAACATGGCATAAAAAAGTTCACAAATTTCATTCTTGATTGACGAACATCCGTGAACAAAGATATCGCTAGCAAATTGACACGAAAATTTGAGATTGACACGCTGACCGCGTCAGTTTACAAACACTAATGCTTGCATCTATCACTAGTAGTGATATATACCTATACCTGCACATATCACTGGTATTGATATATACCAGCACCTATACTTACACATATCACTGGTAGTGATATATAACAGTCAATATACTTGCACATATCACTGGTAGTGATATATAACAGTCAATATACTTGCACATATCACTGGTATTGATATATACCAGTACCTACACTTGCACATATCACTGGGAGTGATTTATACCAGTACCAGAGCTGGGCAGCGCTACTTTGAAATGTAGCGGCCGCTACCGCTACCGCTACATGCTCTAAATGTAGCGGGTGCTATCGCTACCGCTACAATTGCTTAAATGCAGCGCCGCTACCGCTACTGAAAATGTAGCGGACGCTAGTATAGCGGCCGCTACATCGTAACGCGCTACTGCCCACCTTTGACCAGTACATACACTTGCACATATCACTGGTAGTGATATGTGCTACCACTTGATCGCGCTACAACCAAGTGAGTATGTATTTCTGTCGCAACAACGTCTTGACCATCACGATCCAACATCGCACCACGTCTGTCTGCAAGATTGCAAGGAGCTACTGATAAGGTCAAGATGCATTACGATGTCCAAAGGTTGAAGTTTTCGTGCACGGGAAATTCCAAGTAATGAAAATTACTTTGTTGTGTGATTAAAATAATACGCACAAATCATGAACAATGTACTCCAGCAAAATTTTAGTTTGCAATTTCAGAATTTTAATGTACGATCACGTTACTAATGTTTATCTTGAAACTTAAGAAAGACCATCAGCATTTAATATCTTTTTCGTTTATTTGAATGCATAATGCTGAGACCGCATATAATTCGAAAAAATTATTCATTACGTCAGGCTTTACAGAGAAACAAAATGAATAGAACGTTCTTTACGTCGAAAAAAATCGAATAATGTGCGTTTAATGTACAGAAGCCAGCCTTATTGTTTACGGTGTAAGATACAACGCTCATCATAATTAAACTGTGAGATGCCACCGCAACAACAGCATGCATTGTTCTCTCTCAGTTTTTTTCTTTTATTAAAACTGGAGGAGCGTATACTATCAGATTTCCGTCCGTAATTTAATAGAGAACACCAACTAATCTCTTTTAATGGGAAAAACTGAAATATCATTATCGCAGAAATTTTGGCACCCCAAATAAACACAGTGTAGGCGGAACACTTAACACGCAAGATGCCAAAAAAATGCAGAGTTACACCCTCACTCAAACACGTGAAACTCAAGACTAACCAACTTACCAAGTTGAGTTTGAGCCTTGAGGCTCGAGCTTTGGTGTTCCCCAAGCGGAAAGATTCTTACCCCAAATTGTTGTTACTTTACCCTTAATCCTCGTGGGTTTAACAGATATTCATCACGGTGAAAAATTGAATCGAAAATTGTGTACTAAATCTAATGCAATTAGTATTAGATCACCGAATTTTCTTGTTGAAACACATACGGGTAATGATCAGCGAATGCATTATATTCCAATATTCATGGAGTCGACAAATTCTTCAGATGACGTTAATAGATCGAAAGGCATGTATATATTAAACGACGTTTCGAATGTATCAACATACATTTCTCAAGTTACAAGAAGAATCGATCAATGAAATTTTGGTGGACAAATGTACATCATAATACACGTCAATTTAATACAACGAAATTTTGGAACGGCAAATGACTCTGAAAACGATTTCAAAGTTCAGACAATTTTGGTAGTTTGAAAACAGACAGCTGTGGTCCAATCCCCATAGATGAAGGTTTCAGCAATTGTCGGTCATTTAATATTGGCGCCACTGCATGTCATGATGACGATGCTGGTGGGTTCCTCCAGCACAGTGCGAGCGACGGTCTTGTGAGCTTGTCTCAAGGGATTCCCTTGTCCTCCAGACTGAAGGTGGTAGGTGAGACGTTTTCGATGTCGTGGTTGTTAGTCCCAATGTAGTCTAAACGACGAAGAAGTCTCTAATTAGTATATAAATAGTCTATGTCTGGCCACTCCATGATGATGATGAACTGTCATGTGAGGGCAATCATTGCATTAATTTGATTGACACACATCTACCCTATAAATGTTTATTACCCTCACTTAGGGTAAAAGTTTTCTCTATGGTCGCTAACGGCCATGCGGGTGCCGACGAGGGTGACGGCGAAGGCAAAAAGTGACCGAATCGACACTTCAGCGGACACGCCTGCGGACCCGCCTGCCAACTCGAATGCAAAACCTAACTTCATTTTCAACTCACCCACCCATAAATCGGTCAAAAAGTGGTGGTTAGCTTCAGCCCTGCTGCACGTGGCACTGAAGTAAACTTAATTAAAATTGCGCGCTCATTGTCGTGATCAAACACATAATATATTCATGTTTTCTATTCATAATCTGCTCAATCGAATCACAATTTTATTTTTAGTTTATTCTCGAGACTTATTATACATTACATTTGTAATAATATATTTATATAACAGCAATCTAAACAAAAAATAGTTTCGACGTAGTGAGAGTTGAACGTTTAATTGAGTTTATCAAAGAATAAAATCGTTTTCTCGGAAGTGCATGATAAAGAAATTTATGCTCCCAAACTGAAGTAAATGTGATCCTGCTACCTAAATAGGGTGCAATTACCAACGTTAATTGTAACCCTGTTTACTGGTACAGCTTTATCTTCAAATGTCGGGTAATGTTTTACAACTTCCAGACGTGATGGGCTCATTGTATTACTTAAAAAAATTCATGCATTACATATGGACTCAATGCATCACTTTTTACCAGAAATTTGCTAGTATGTTATCGTTAACCTCGAAGTCTCTTCTGGCATTACGGCTGTTTTTTTTCTCAATCTTCACAAGCTTTCTTGGCAACTGCGAAACTTGATCCTAATAGTCCTGTCCTAAAAAATTCCTCTTCTTAACTTTGAAAGCAATGAGTGTGCCACTTTAAAATTAGTACCACAAGATGAGCTTATAACTACAGCTTGTACTCAATTAGTTTCATGATTGGATAGACAGTCATTTATGCTAAACAAGCCAAGGCAAACAAAATTTAAATCGCACTTTTCACACTCTTGCTACAGTACGCAATCTGCGATACAGTCTACACAAAGCTACAGTACGCAAGCTACAGTACAGTTTACACAAAGCTACAGTACGCAAGTTCGATTACCGCAAGCGTTTAAAATGTTTTTGTTCATGTAATATGAGTGGGTCTGTCATATGAGGATATATCTTCGCACATCTGTGTTTGTTTCGTGATAAATTATTGATGTGTCAAAAATGGCCCAAAACGGCAATAGACTGGAGATAGGATTACAAAAATAATTATAAGATTTTGAAGTGAAAGAAAATTAGGTTTTTTAATATTTCACATCATTGTAATCTCTCCTAATCAAATGGCCTAATACTATTTATTATACCATTAATAAATGGCCTAATACAATTTAAAGCACCATTTATAAATGGCCTAATTCTATTTAAAACACCATTTATAAATGGCCTAATAACATTTAAAACACAATTTATAAATGGCCTAATATTGTTTAATACAGCATTTAATAAGTGTACTTTTCATCGCAAAATTGCAGTGGGTTTGTTAGAGGACGGCGTTACACATTCCTTACGTACGATGAGGACTTATAACCTGAAGAACTCAAAGTCCACAAACTTCATCCCAATCCACGGCCTTCTAACTAGGCCATGAGACAGACAATGGTTATGAGATTTGCTTGCTCGTTGAGTGAGATTCAGGAAGAGTAAACTGTTGATTTAGAGGTTCAGTTACACACAGTATCGAGTGCTTTGGGTATGCGGGTTCAAATGCTACTGGGCATGCAGGTTCAAATGCTACTGGGCATGCAGGTTCAAATGCCACTGGGCATGCAGGTGCAGGTTCAAATGCTACTAGGCATGCAGGTTCAAATGCTACTGGGCCGTGCAGGTTCAAATGCTACTGGGCATGCAGGTTCAAATGCTACTGGGCATGCAGGTTCAAATGCTACTGGGCATGCAGGTTCAAATGTTCTGGGCATGCAGGTTCAAGTGTTACTGGGCATGCAGGTTCAAATGCTACTGGACATGCAGGTTCAAATGCTACTGGGCACGCAGGTTCAAATGCCACTGGACATGCAGGTTCAAATGCTACTGGGCCTACAGGTTCAAATGCTACTGGGCATGTAGGTTCAAATGCTACTGGGCATGCAGGTTCAAATGCTACTGGGCATGCCGGTTCAAATGCTACTGGGCATGCAGGTTCAAATGCTACTGGACATGCAGGTTCAAATGCTACTGGACATGCAGGTTCAAATGCCACTGGGCATGCAGGTTATAAAAAGGTGACACATTCCTATATTTCCTCATTCATAATTGGATGCTAATTATAAGTTTTTTCGTATTGTTAATCGGACTGAAACGAGGCATTATATTTTAAGCAGAGAAATAAAGCTTATTTTATACTATTAAGATAAATTCAATCATTTCGTGCATTTTATCGATGTAAATAAAGCTTTTTCTTGCATTGAATCGAGAAATTGCATCATGATATCACTTATACTTGCTAATAAAGCATTGTCTGGCACTAAAAAGTGAAATGAAATAATGCCATGCATAGTATTTTATAGTATTATAATATTATGTCAGTGCAATGAAGCAATGACTATGAGTTCCTGCAATATAAAGAGAAAATGCACAAAGCTACAGTACGCAAGGTACAGTACAGTTATAGTTCGCAAGCATTAACTAGATGAAATGAAGCAAACTATTGTATTGTATAAAAACCGGTGCCTTGCATTACTCAATGAATTGTTGTTTTGTGCAGAATTCGATAAGTAAATGAAGCAATTTTTTATATTTTTCTGAAAATTGTTGCTGGATCATGTATTATACAGGGAATTGAAACGATTCAGATAATAATATTAACTATTGATTATTATTATTCGGTGAAATTAAGGGGGCGCATGGCCTTATGCCGAGATACGTAGCATTGTTTTTTACTAATTATGAAAATTAAATGAAGAGGAAATTACGGTATATTTTTATATTTTTCCTGTATCATGAAGTTTTATATATATACTAATTAAATTCTTAGTACCTAGGAAAATTGGACTAATTAAATTAAGATTAGACTAATTAAATATAGACTAATTAAATTTTTAGTACATAGGAAATTTGGCTGAGAAAAAAAATACCGTGAATCATAAGTTATTCATCGCACGAAATTATGAACATTCAATTGGGCAAGAACGTAAAGGTTTAAGTCAATCAATACGATTGATTTCCCTTGTAATTCATAATTAATTTATTGAATTTCCTTGAATACAATTGACTAAATAATCAAGCAATCAACGCTTGAACTTTATAACCAACCGAGCATCTGCCTTGTCCGTGAACGCCACGTGACGTTTGCTGCCTCAGCCGACGATCAAAGTCCGGCGGCCTGCGATACCAGCAGCTTATCTGTACCCATTATACTTTCAAAAAAGTTAATAGATCGAAAGTTCATCAGCCAATCATTGACGGCCTTTCAAGCAAAATCCACCAATCATAGACACGAAAATAGAGCGTAAGTACTTACGTTCACTATACTTTCAAAAAGAAGTTAATAGATCGAAAGTTCATCAGCCAATCATTGACGGCCTTTCAAGCAAAATCCACCAATCATAGACAAGAAAATAGAGCGTAAGTACTTACGTTCACTTAATCATAGACAAGAAAATAGAGCGTAAGTACTTACGTTCACTTAATCATAGACAAGAAAATAGAGCGTAAGTACTTACGTTCACTTGGCGAGTTTTGAAAGTGTGACCCCTGTACCTCCAACCGGCGTTACGTACGATCAGCAGGAATTGTTAATAATTGTTGTAGTTTTTATAATAATAAACGATAATAATTGTCGTAGATTTATCCTAATAGTGCTATCCTAAAAAATATTTCCTCTTCTTAACTTTGAGAGCAATGGGTGTACCGCTTTAAAATTAGTATCCAAAAGATGACCTTATAACTATAGCTTGTTCACAATTAGTTTCATGATTGGATGGATAGTTATTTCTGCTGCTAAACAAACGACCAAGTGGGTCACTGCTATTCCACTCGAAGCGGGGCTGTCTAGACAATGGAGTTACTGGGTTCGCGCGCATCATTTGCGATAAAATATAGCGATTTCAGCGTTTATTAGGCCGTAGGCCTGTCGCCGATTCTTAACATTTCAGAACATCCACAGCTTGTTGCGGGCTTGAACTCGCAACTCACTGCTTCAAATTTTCTTGGCTTAACCGCCCGGCCTCCTTGCCGATTCTGACCAGAAACTGACGCACAGAGCTGGGATCGAACCCGCACCTCTCTGCTCCAATCCTGGTACTCTGAACTGTAACCACTGGGCCATTTATTATTCTCTATGAATAATAAATGATTTGGCTTGAAATTCTTGTTTGTAATACTGCTGCAGTCGTTAAGAAATTTTATTCGACTCCTAGATAACTTCCAGCGTATGATAATATTTCCTTTCTGTTTAAGCCGAGAGATTTTTAATGATTGGTGAAATTTCAATAAAGTTCGAAACGCGTGCTTTGTTATTGCACAAAACTATAAAAATTATGATCGTTTGAATAGATTTTACAAAAACCGTGTGCATAATATGTTGACTTCCGTGTGCGTGTAATGGAGCATAATTTTCTTGTCATCAGTCGCTTGTGTTTTCTGAAAATGTTTATTAATGCTCTCAATAACTTTTTTCGTCGTTCCCTGGCAACCTATGAGTTTTTTTCATGAATGAAAACTTATAATTATCTATATGGCTCATTAATAAAAAAAAATGGATCAAAAAACGGAATGTATGTGTCAATTATGACACTTTTATTAAACTAAAATTTAACCTTTACCTTAATTCTTCGATGCAAACATCACGTGAATTCTATGTAGCATTTTTGATTCTGACAGCAAGTATAGATTATGCTATGAGGAAGTATATTTTAGTGTAGCTATTAATGAGTGAAACTTTATCAATGTATTGGCGCCTATATCGAGGGGATTAGTGTGGTTACGTGGAACGATGAATCATTATCATAATGAGCGATGAATCATTATCATGGTGAGCGATGAATAATTATCATGATTAGCGATGAATCATTATCACGATAAGTGATGAATCATTATCATTATGAGCGATGAATCATTATCATGATGATTGATGAATCATCATCATGATGAGCGATGAATCATTATCATGATGAACGATGAATCACTATCATGATTAACGATGAATCATCATCATGATGAGCGATAAGGAGCTAGGCATTTCAAGTCTGAACATATATTTTTCCATAGCTTTATCTAGTCTGTTCTTGAACGCGTTCATACTTGGAGCGCCAACGATGTCATCTGGGAGGCACATAATAAGAATAAAATTTTACACGAATAAATATCCGCGTTTATCCTGTTAAAAATCTTAAAAAAAGTTTCAGGAAATCAAGTGAAGAGTTGAGAAAGTGTCGTCACGTACGAAGAGCGAACATAACAAGAGGTTCGTTGTTGTGCGGCAGCTAACTAGCTGCGGCTGCCATACTTATAAATAGGAGTGATGGTGCCTGAACCTTGCTCAGTTTGACTTGGTTACTTATCAGAATAGCTTCTATCTCGTTCCACTCAGCACTCTGTGGTAATTTTTTTATGGTTTGAAGTTCTTGTTCAGTTTCGATAGAGCTTTATTCAGTTGTATATGTATATTTCTTATCGTGGGAAGAAAGAACCCTCTTATATGTTCCGCCTCTGATACGTTTTGCTAATATTAAAAACAATTTCAATATCCTTTAAGTAACATCCAATAATGTTCATACCAGTTAACGGCCACCATATTCCAGTAACGTAAACTCATGGATAATTTTGAAACCAATATCACTTTTTTATTCCTGTAACGTAAGCCCCTGAATAATTCGTAAACTAATATCACATTACAACTAAATCTTATTACATTTCTTATAAAAAAGTTAATATTGACGTGTTTCAGGAAGCCAAAATGACGGAAACCACCACGACCGTCATCACTAACGGCACCTCCGTGGCCGTGAAGACCATCGCTGGCCGTCCCCACGACACTGTGGTCTTAGGGTCGCTCAAGACAGTGACTTGGATCAAGACAAACCCGGTGCTCAGCGACGGCTATGCCATCACCAAGACACAAGTCGACAAAGCCAGACAGTATCGCATCATAGAAGCTATTTTCACAATTGTTTTGGTAAGTCCTAGACACAGCAAGCCAAATTCTAAAGTAACGTCTTTGAGACACAAGTCGACAAAGCCAGACAGTATAGGATCATAAGAGCTATTTTCACACAATTTTGTTGGTAAGTTCTAGACGAATCAAGGCATATTCTAAAGTAACGTCTTTGAGACACAAGCCGACAAAGCCAGACAGTATAAGATCGCCCAAGCTATTTTCCCAATTGTGTTGTAAGTCCTAGACAAAGCAAGCCAAATTTCTAAGTAACGTTTTTGAAAAAGTCGACAAAGTCGGACAGCGTCGGATCATAGACGTTATTTTCACAATTTTGTTGCTAAGTTCTAGGCAAAGCAAGCCAAATTTAAAAGTAACGTCTTTGAGATACAAGTCGACAAAGCCAGACAGTATAGGATCATAGAAGCTATTTTCACAATTGTAATAGCAAGTCTGATACGGACAAAACCATATAAAGGTAAGTCACGAACCGACGAAGCGGGATGGATTCTAATCAAATGTCGAGCCAACACAACAATTGTGTGAACTTAATATAATCCACACCCTAAATATAATCCATATATTAAATAAACCCTTAATATAATTAATTGAATACTGAGATTAAACGGGTGTCTTGCATCAAGCGTGCACAAAGCTGCTTTACCATCAATGTTACTGAAATTGTAGTTGCGCAATTAATGACAGATAATCATTAATTAGGTAGGTCTAGAGATAAATAAACTATTATTTAGACTTAAAGTATTCATAACAGGCATTTAATATCGAATTAAATTTCCGAGGTTATGTTTTGTGTTCATAATTGAGTTGCTCGTTAGTTGTGTAAAAGCTACATCGTATCGCGCGACCTGCAGAGATAATCGAGGCGATAAAAATGTCCATATCTCCTTTGTTATCAGGGACGCCTTGTCAAGACTACAGAAACGAAAATCTTTACTAATTTTAGAGAATACGGGAAACTATCAGCTGCTTGTGTAGCTTTTCAAAAATATTACTAGTTTCTTAACTTGATTTTGGCATTGCTTGATTAGAATATCTCTGGTTATTAATTTCTTTATTGTCTAAGTCATAGAATGATTCACGTCCTATGTCACCATTGCTTCTTGAAACACATTTCCGTTGAGATTTATCATTTTAAGGGTGAATAGATTGATGAATCTTTCTTTTTAAATTTTTCTCTGAGTTTGAAATTATAAACTATTAGTCGAAGCGTTCATTTTGTTCACGAAATCACTTCTTAACTTTCGCCAACTTATTGCACAACACTCGACATCAGGCCTTAAGAGCGAACAACATTAAAAACATTTCGATATGTTCGGCGTTGTGACTTTTACTTACTTAATGAATTAACATTATAGCAAATCCAAATATCCGTTAACTAATGAAGTAACCTGATTTTCAGCATGCCAAGCAAATATTCCTAAAATATAAAAAAATTGTCGTCCATCCAAAAAAATCGTCCATTTGTCGCCCCTAGAAATGTCGCAGTACCATTCGTCAGTTGAGCGCATATTTTCTTCAATTATATCCAATTGTTAATAAGACCAATTTCCCGCTGGTAAATGTACTTAATTTGGTTTATATCATCATCCAGTGTGCGTTTTTAGCGCATTTTCTCATTTATGGAAAAAATTGTGCTCGCCATGTCCGTCCGTCTGTCTGTCCGTCCGTCCGTCCGTGACCTCAAGTTTTCGGCGACGAGAAAATGCGCTCTCTGTCACTCACTGCAGTGAGTACTGAGTTATATTTTTTCATGTTTTGATGGATCAAACTAAAGCGTAATTGTCTGCTCTACAGGTCCAGATCTCGGTGGTGCTGACGTTGGTGGAGGCCGTGCCGTGGCCCGGCGTGGTTGTCCGCTTAGTGCACCGAGTGGACGAGTTTACGGAGAGGACGTTAGAGTCCATCTACAGGACTCTAGAGTGGGTGAGTCGTCTTAAGGGCTTTAGAGTGGGTGAGTCGTCTGATGGGCTCTAGAGTGGGTGAGTCGTCTACAGGACTAGAGTGGGTGAGTCGTCTACAGGACTCTAGAGTGGGTGAGTCGTCTACAGGACTCTAGAGTGGGTGAGTCGTCTACAGGACTCTAGAGTGGGTGAGTCATCTACAGGACGACAGAGTGGGCGAGTTGTTTGAGGATTTAGAGTGGTTGAGTTGTAGTTAGCGATGACATTTCACTGGGTTCAGTGGGTGAATGGCGACGTTATTTCGGGCCATCAAATTGAAGAAACGGAAAGCTAACGGAGCAGGGACGAGCGAAAAGAGGGCTATTATACGATTATTGAAATTCAGAACAGAAATATTTTGCATAGAATATTTCTTGCAACGAAACCAAGTTTGCTGTTTAATATTATAGTGTGATAAAGTTTCGTTCAACAATGTGTGCTAAGAAATCTGACTGGCAGCAGACCAGCCAGAATCGCTTCACTGCGTCCGGTTATTTGTGACACTCCGACATTACGTCATTATATGTTCAATGCCTAAGTCATGGAATGATTCACGTCCTATTCCACCATTGCTTCTTGAAGCACGGTTCCATTGAGTCATATTATTAGAAGGGTGAATTACATTGATAAGAAATAGATTGATAAAATAAACTTTCAGCAACACTTTTATCGACATATTCAGCCGTTGCATGAGTTGTTACCGTTTCGTCATCAGTAGTTCGTCAGTAAAATAATTACTTAATAAATAAAGTAATTATGCGCCATCAGGGTTTATTATTGTGATTAATTTATCTGTCATTTTCATGTGTATGATGTCTGTCACCCAGCAATGATATCAAGCCGGCGTGGCGCATATTTAACCAAGCTTATCTGAGAAGGAAAACATTCTGGTTGCTAAGCTCATGAAAGCTCGTATTGAGTCTCCTCGAGACCCGCAGCTTACGTTCACGACATGCTCTGCATAAACATCAACCAGTCTATGATACCTTGTCTCATCCACAGCTCTCGTGCGTGCACATGACATTGAAAGTGGGAGGTGGTGTTAGTGTATAGTCTCTTCATCTAAAATATGATAATTTCTTCATTCATATAAGTAAATCACGTTGCAACTTAAACACAATGTGAGAAGAAAACAATGCTGTCTTGATTACTTGCTCAGATACCATCAATAGAATACCGGTACTACAATTAGTGCAATAAAGAAAATGCTGAATGTTGTGTATGTGTCGAAAATTACAGTGTTCATGAGTCGTCTTTGAGCACGCATTCTCAAAGTGAGCTTGCGCGGCATGAAGCGAGCGAGTTATATTCTTCACGCTAAATGCACATGTAGCGTGCATGCAGCGTGTCAATCAAATGTTAGAACTAGCATAACGTCACCGCACTCTCGGGTAAAATAAATTGTAGTTCATCTTAACGTACATGGATGATTTTGTCACTTAATCACAACGCGGGTATCGGTTACCGTCTTAACTTATCAGAAATTTAATGAGTCATCGCGAGCAACGGACGTTGGGAAAGTTTTTCTTGGTCCTACCCGCTGAAAAATGTAATGCAATGTTAACGATCCAATAAATAATGACATGATCTCGCGTGGAGTTTGCGTGGCAATGCGCCTGTTGATATAAAAAAATTACCGTGTCGTTGTGGCAACCGGCGGACTGCCGCATAAGTCATGGGGTTCAATATAAAGATGACCTCAGACATGGGAACGAGTCCTAAAAATAGCTCGATTGACCTTTGGAGTAGGTATATAGTTGGTCAAGTTTATCGCCTGATTCAACGATGTACTGTCCATAGATTATATTTAAATTTATAAAGTTCCTTATTCAATCTCCAAGCAGATGCTAATAATTAATATATTTATATTTTAATTATTTATAATATTTGTATTTATATAATGTTTTTATTAATAATAAGAAATAATTCATTGATAATTTTATTTAATAATTCGTACGAGTCTATATGTATATGCAAGTCTGAAGGCAAATTCATAAAAACTCCAATAAAAATATCGAATAAAAAAGGTCGCATGCACAATTTATCAAGAGCCAGGTTAACGGTTGGCTAAGCTATCCTCCCACATTATTATTAGTCGTTCTTTAATGAAGAAAACATTATGGTAAAATCATGGTGATTCTAAGCTATTTTGTATTCGATTAATTGAATTATATTCGATTGTTATATGAATAACAAAGTAAATATTGCTTTTCAATTGAATTATTGGCTGCGGTGCTTGTCCAGTCAATCACTACTTAGTTGGCTGTCGAGGATCGTGGTTTATCAAGGCGATATACATATTTAATATATATATATATATGTTAGTATAATAATATTTATTGCATTATTATTATATTTAATATCATTATTATATCATATATCAAAGAGGTAAAATATTTAAACTGTGCAAGATGGCTGCTCCCGTACACCTGATACCTACTATGTGCTCAGCTCTGATCGAGATTGTCGAAGTTCATATCAGTTCTAATCAAACCAATAATTGTTTTTTTTAATTTATATCAATTCTAATTAAACCAATTGTTCTGTTAAACGATCAAGCACCTTCGATAAACTTGCTTCATTCCTGGATGCAATTTTTATCACGCTTATAGCTTATAAAACATTGAATTTAGTTCATATAGTCGCTACAAACCATGGAAGCGACATATATAATTTTTCGAGTCAATTATCATCTTAATATACATCAATTCAGTTGATCAATATTTAAGAACGAGAAACTTGCGCTAATAGTTTTCAAGGCCCGAAGATCGATCATGAAGTTTGAAAGACACAAAAACGTCAACCGCAGAAATTTTTATTGCTTTCTTTTATACTCTGGAAGTAATTTCTTCTTATGATGTTTACCGGCTAGATCTCGAAATAGATACAATCGATTAAACGGTTATAAAAATAATCAAAGTAATTTATCGCGCAATCTTTAATTTTTTTCAGTTTAAAAATTATCATTCCTGTTTTTTTAAGTTAATCAATGTAAATAATTTTTGACTGTTTAGAACCTCTTTTTTCAAGCTTATTTTCGTAAGCGTATATTTCCTTTTTTTTGTTCATTTATCAAACAATTATTTAAAAAAAAATTTGAAATGTTGAACTGCATTATATTAAGAACATTTTCATTTTCAGTGGTTTGACTGCATTTCCATCCGCTTGATGCGACTTCTGGAAACGCTCGTCATTTACTTAGACAAGTTCATCACAACGATCGACTCTGTCATCCACTGGTTCTTGCAGAAATACGACTGGGTTTTCGCCTTCGTCCTCAAAGTCTACGGTGAGATTCACCATCATTCACATACGTGAATTCACCATCACTGCCAAAACACAAATTGATGAATTCTAGCTTGGGTGTAAATGTTCTACTCTGAGAACTTTGCTCTCAGAATCGAAAATTAGCTCCAATTTTGAGTGGTTCGATTTTTCGGAGCACAAAACACACAATTTTCAAAAAAGTCTAAGGAATGATGCAGAAAAATAATTTCATTTGTACCTATCTGAAAAATGACGAATCATGCGTAAATTGAAAATAATGAGTGTATAAAATTATCCTCCTACTTCAAAATCACATAACCGATTTGAATATCACAAAACGGAATTAGCAGCCCAATGACAAAACTTTGTGTAATTCCAGCACAGACTAGAACAAAGACACTTGGTTTGCACGATCAGCATTCAGTGGTCCAATCCCCTATTTTTACTTTACCAATATCGTGATGTATTTTTTGTATAATTGAAAGCTATACTTTCAATTATACAAAATTGTATACCTATACTTTCAAAAAAAGTTAAGAGATCGTAAGTTCATCAGCCAATCATTGACGGCCTTTCGAGCAAAATCCACCAATCATAGACAAGAAAATAGAGCGTAAGTACTTACGTTCACTTAGGGAGTTTTGAAAGTATTGCCCCTGATCTGCATGCAACAGCTCGCGTGTCGGCGGTATGGACTTGGTACGTGTCACTGTGGACTTCTGCTTGGAGCGCCCTCAGGTCCGGCGTGCAGTCCACTCAGCAGATGTGGACGCTCAGTCAAGAGGTAACTACACGAGCCAACATTATTTTACATTAGGAATGATTCATCAACTAATTATTTCTAGCGATAAAGAAAACGGATGGATCAAAGGAACTAAATTGATTCTCATGTTGGAGATTAAATTCAACTATTGCGAAAGTGATGGGAGAAAATGCATTTAAATACAGTAATTACAGTGTTTATGGACGTTAAAACTATATGCGTTGCCGAAAGAAACTGTAAATTAAACTAATGTGTTAAGGAAAACGAAGTTGTTGATATAGTGTCAGTGTTTTGCGACAAATTGTATGTGTTCAATAAACTTTAATTTCTCTTCTTTATTAATAGTAATGCGCCAGCACTTCTATTGTGGCAATGTTAGACAAAATACTAACTCGCATCGGACGAATATAGCTGTTTTATTTTGCTCTTTCTTCTTTTTCAGAGCCCGAAAAAGCAGTGATGGCAGTTGGCTCTGTAGACTTGATTAAACAATACCATTCTAATCGATGATGAGTAGTGGTGATGGTACTCGGATACGATGGCAAAGTGGGCTTTTGTCCCTCGTTTTACAGTCTCTGTGGAATGATAATCCACGTTGGGCTCTGAATTTCCTTTTCCAATTTAATCATCCGACGAATTACGTTGCAATTCGATGGTATTATCCCTTCGTATTGTTGAATTCAATAATCAATAAATTTTTTTACATCTTATTCATCAATAGTTAATGCTTCAAGGCAATTTTTTTGTAATTTTTAGCCTGTTCCGGAAAAGGCATGCATGGAGAAAGCTTTACATTTGCTGCTTTGCTATCGTGTCTTTGGACGGTCACTTAATGATCAATAAATGATCAAGTATTACATAAGATGAATCTTATTTTTTTACCAATTAACATTGATATTATTATAAGTAATCACTGAGCTCAGTTTGTATTCTAAAATACAAGCCTAAAATTTGATTTGGTTTGATTTATATCTGAGATTAACAAGAATATTGTTTAGAACAAGCAGCTAGGTTAGATTTGCGTTGCCCTGGATCGATAATTCCTGAATTTTGACTATCCAATTTTACAGAAACCCATGAATAAGATTATAAATATTGTATGTTAATTAAAAATAATCTGTTCGAACTTTTATTTCACATAGAACGTAGGGAAATGTGAAGAACTTTGAATATAACTCTTGAATGAAATTTTTAAGTGCAAATTTGAAAATAAAATTTTAATTCAACTTTCCCCACCTAGTTTGGCAATGGCTTACTTTTCTCCAACTAAGAATGAATTCCAATAATATAAGAAATTAGATTTCTATTATTATTTATTACGTTTGTCAATAATGAATTTAAAAAATAATTTTTTAGTAAATTTAATTCCATTAAACTTTTAGGTTCCCTGAATTTGTTTTCTTTCATATGGATTTTGTATTTGCCACTAAGTTACATCACGTATTTCTAAATTACTGTATATATAACCAACATTTGCTCTCGAAATACTGACACTATATTATTTTATACTGACGTTTTCCAATAAATTGTATGAGAACTTTGCTGTATGTCTTTTTTGATCCTGTTTGTTTTCCATTTCATGCATCCTTTATATATAGGTGTGAGCTACAATTATTTGTTCATGAACGGCTCTTTTTTGAAGAGGATCTTTGAAGTATATAACCTGGATTTGATGCTCAGTTCCTAAATAACAATTTTTATATTTATTTTTTAAGATCAGCATCCTGAATCATTCTTGCGGCATAAGCATTAAAGACTTCACTGGAAAAATCTTCGATGAAATGAAACGTCGATTTCAATAAAAAATCACAATTTTTGCTTTGGTACCCATAGATAAACCACAAAATTAATTTGATTTCCAAAATTGTTGAGGAATTGGATAAAATAACAATATAAATTTATTGAATGTTAATTTTTGTTTCTATATGACGAGCGCTGTCTTTTCAAGAATCAATTTGACCTCAACAACAGAGCACATATCAACGAAGCACGTATCAACAGAGCACATATCAACAGAGCACATATCAACAGGGCACATATCAACATAGCATATACCAACAGAGCATATACCAACAGAGCATATAGCAACAGAGCACATATCAACAGAGCACATATCAACAGAGCACATATCAACAGAGCACATATCAACAGAGCACATATCAACGGAGCACATATCAACAGAGCACATATCAACACAGCACATATCAACAGAGCACATAGCAACAGAGCACATAGCAACAGAGCACATAGCAACAGAGCACTTATCAACAGAGCACATATCAACAGAGCGCATATCAACAGAGCACATATCAACAGAGCACATATCAACAGAGCACATATCAACACAGCACATATCAACAGAGCACATATCAACAGAGCACATAGCAACAGAGTTCATATCTAAATCTTCGAAAGTTCATCTGCTTTCCCGGAATTTATTCATTTGAAATTCTTAAGGGCTGCGCACTTAAGAATTTTATTCATTGTTCCAATACTTACGAGCCTCATTGCGATGCTGCAAAGAGAAAAAAGGCGGAAAATGTTTGTGAAAATCCGGAAAAAAATTAGTTTGGATGGTAAAGAATTCATCACTAAATTGAAAAACTGGGGTTAATGGTGATTTATTGAGGTTGATGATCTCATTACATGGAAAATGTGGTCATTGAGAAATACGGTAGGCTCAGATCAAAAGATATCATTATATCAAATTCCAGTAAAAATGCCGTGTAAAATGCCTCTTATCGATTTAACGAATGCAATTTCTCGAGAACGATGAAGAAAAATTCGAAAGTGGTGATATTTTAATGATGCGGGTAAACGAGAACATCTGAACTGCTTTATTGATGTCCGAGAGCCACGCGCTCAATGCAAACAACTAATTAATGATTTTTGTTGCTCAGATTGTAAGGAGGAAATAGAAAATGAGAGACCGTATAATAATCTGATCATTTCAAACACTTTTTGTGTGTTTTTTTCGTAAATGCATCGTTTACATTTGATCTTTGGGGTCATTGAGCCATTTCAAAAATTAAGGTAAAGGACACATATCAAGTAAAGTGAAAGGAATCCGTTCATTCGTTACTCTAATGTTTATAAATAAAAGCAAGAAAAAAAGTATTAATAAAATCCTAAGACAAGCAACGCAGATAGAGGAAATTGAAATTTTTAAAATGAACCATTCTTTATTCGCTCAGGAATTAATAAGAAACAACGAAGAAGCTGAGAAGAAGAAACAAATTGCCGCGGAAGCAGCCGCCGCTCTAGTCAAGGCGAAACAGAAACCCCGCATCCGAATTTCTTCGTTGTCCTCGACGGAAAAACGCTTGTCTTTCTCTGGCTTGGACGACTGGGAAGACGGAGGGTGTAGTACCGGAGGCCGCGTCTCCCCAATGATCCCGCGGTCTCCGGTCTACCGGGGTTCCGATTCCGAGGGCTCGGATGTTGCAGCCATCCAGGAAACCCGGAAATTTCTAGTTGGCGAACAAACAGGTGAGAGTTTTTGATAAAATTTCTGTAGAAATACTGAAGGTGAAACTTAAACGTACACTACCCGCGGTCTCCGGTCTATCGGCATTCCGCTTCCGAGGGCTCGGATGTTGCCGCCATCCAGGAAACCCGGAAATTTCTAGTTGGCGAACAAACAGGTGAGAGTTTTTGATAATGTTTCTACAAAAAGACTGGAGGTTGAACGTAAACATAGACTGATATTAAGGAAACCCGGAAATGTCTAGTTGGCGAACAAACAGGTGACAGTTTTTGATAGAATTCCTACAAAAAGACTGGAGTTTTAATGTAAACTTGGACTGAAATTAAATTATTAACATGTGCTGAAATATTTATAAGCGTCCCTTCTGTTTAAGTCTCTGACTTCCCTTTTGTTTTTGTCTCTGATTGTAGTACGCAATTCAAGTTACTTCATCGGTGGTTCGGAATATTAGTAAATATGACGTTTTTAAATGTTCGATTATACTTTTTACTATCAACGCACAAATGGACAGGCCGCTGCTACAGTTAGTAAATATGACTTTTTAAATGTTCGATTACAATTTTTACTATCAACGCACAAATGGACAGGCCGCTGCTACAGTCGCGTGGACACGTCGGCGACTGTGGTGGGGCGGCAGAGAGACGCCATGTACGAGCGCGTGGCAACCAAACTGCAAGTCATGAGGAAGAACAGCATCAGGTTCTCCAGGGGCATTGTGAGTAGGGCTTGTGAGTAGGGCTTGTGAGTAGGGCTTGTGAGTGGGGCTTGTAAGTTGAGGTTGTGAGTTGGGCTTGTGAGTAGGACTTGTGAGTAGGGCTTATGAGTTGGGCTTAAGAGTAGGGCTTGTGAGTTGGGCTTGTGACTAGGGCTTGTGAGTTGGGCTTGTGAGTAGGGCTTGTGAGTTGGGCTTGTGAGGTGGGATTGTGAGTAGGGCTTGTGAGTAGGGCTTGTGAGTAGGGCTTGTGAGTAGGGCTTGTAAGTTGGGCTTGAAAGTTGAGCTTGCGAGCCAGTTGTTATGACTCCAGGTGCAATGTGAGTAGGGCTTGTGAATTTGGCTAAGGCTTGTGAATTGGGCTTGTGAGTTGGGCTTGTGAGTTGGGCTTGTGAGTTGAGGTTGTGAGTTGGGCTTGTGAGCCAGTTGTTATGATTCCAGGTACAATGTGAGTACGGCTTGTGAATTTGACTATGGCTTGTGAGTTGGACTTGTGAGTTGACTAGGACTTGTGAGTTGAGCTTGTGAGTGGGGCTTGTGAGTAGGGCTTGTGAGTAGAGCTTGTGAGTAGGACTTGTGAGTAGGGCTTGTGAATAGGGCTCGTGAGTAGGGCTTGCAAGTTGGGCTTGTGAGTTGGGCTTGTGAGATTTGCTTGTGAGTAGGGCTTGTGAGTAGGGCTTGTGAATAGGGCTTGTGAGTTGGGCTTGTGAGCCAGTTGTTATGACTCCAGGTGCAATGTGAGTAGGGCTTGTGAGTTGGGCTTGTAAGTTGGGCTTGTGAGTAGGGCTTGTGACTAGGGATGGTGAGTTGGGCTTGTGAGTACGGCTTGTAAGTTGGGCTTGCGAGTTGGGCTTGTGAATTTGGCTTGTGAGAAGGGCTTGTGATTAGGGATGGTGAGTTGGGCTTGTGAGTTGGGCTAAAGAGTTGGGTTGCGCGTGTATTCAATTCGATGTACCTGAGGACCAGCTCAGTGTTCTTATAACCATGACTACCAAACAAATGACATTTACAAAAGTTAGCGTAAAAGACCAGTGGTATCGTGTAGCGGAACTTGACAACCTAGTAATTATGAATTAATTGTCCACTGTAACCAATGGGCAACCATGTAATGCAATGTAATAAAATATCTGAATCAATCAATGTAATTGCTGAAAAAATGAGGTTATATAGTAATTTTACCTTGATTTATTTTTGTAAAGCTCATTTTTATTCAGGACGTACGTGTCAGTCGTCTGATTTGGTCAGCTCAGCAGCAGTGCACGCCGCGGTCGCTCATGTCTCTCGTGCTCTCCATAATCAAGTATTTTATCCTGGCTCCCTTCAAAGTAAGCATCCTCAAAACAGACATTTTTTATATTAATTAAGACCGGAAAAATGTTAATATTAATGTCTGTTAAACAATGTTGTTCAAGTCTCATTATACAGAAAACGGTACTTTAATCTGAAAGTTTATTTATCAGAAAATCTGCACTGACGTAAACCAAAATTGTTTTACCCGACGTAGGTGATGACGTGGTTGGTGGGGGGTAAGCGGTTGAGCCGCCGGTCTCGATCCATGCGTCAGGAAAGCCTCCGCAGACGTAAAGCTGCAGAGGCCGCAGCTGCAGGGTTAAATCCTCCTCTAGGACCCGTCGTCTTCAAAGAATCCGATGCCACAAAACTACCACTGTTGCCTACCAGCAGCGTCGCCCACGACACATCGCAGAAAACAAAGTCGCAGCTCGATTGTAAAATTCCAGCAACTCTCGACAGAGGCATCAGTGAAGATATTCCAGACTTCTCCGAAGAATCTAATGGCAGCACGACATCAACGGTTCCTAGGAATAATGGCAATAGCCCGACTTTTCAGCCAAAAAACGAAAAATATTTGTCTCTTTCTTCCACAAGTACAATTTCGGAGGAGCCAGATGAGGATGATGGGGAATGTAGCGGTCAATTTGTGACCCCTCCTCCGACTCCAGTAAAAAAATCCTCCGTGACGAGCTCCTCAAGACTCAGGAGTCTTTTGGGTCCTGGCAAATTAACCGGCAATCCTGAAATGGCTTCCAGTGAACCCGATCTCACCTCGATACTCGTACATAGGGAATCCAACAGACTATCACTTGGGGAACTGCCCGATGACTTCTCACCGCTGGGCAGCAAGAAAAACAAGAAACGTGTGACCATTCGGTGAGCCGAACAATTTATCATCGATAAATTGTCTCTGTTACTAAAAAAATATGCTTATAATTTTTTAAACCATATCATTTAGTTATTATAAGGGAAATAGCACGGCAGGATTTTTTTTTCATGTGATCCTAAGCAATGCTGCGGAAACGAAGAGGTGTGCAATCCCAAATCAGTATAAACAGATACGATGACAAGAGTTTACTATTTTCCAATTGAAAATATACCGACAGCAATCAATTCAATAAATATTCTTTTATCGCTATGATTAGCTTTGATTGAGATCACATCTTTAATTTTTTCTTCAAAAAATATGGGTTTACATTTTTTCCAGTCCTTGAATACTAATTAAATATTCCTGTAATAAGTTAACCTTAAGAGAGTAATATTATCAAGTCAATATTTCATAATAAACGAATCAATTAACTGCATAGCATTCAAGTATAAAGGAGAATACTCCCTAAAATATGTTTAAGAAATGTACTTTATTTGTTAAGTAATACAATGAGAGTGAGAAACATTAAACATTTGTCATTAGTATAGAAACATCTTTATTATTGATTTCATAATTCCATTGAACAGCATAGTCTTTTATAATGACATTGTTTCATTATAGTGACATTTTATTCTTTTAGTTGATTGTGAGCGTCGCGAACGGCTCGATGCACGTGAGGCTACCTAACCAAGTTAGCAGCATTGTGCCTCGTTAGAGACAATTGCAAGGTTCAAATATACCGTGCATATAGCTAGAAATATATGCGCCTAGATGTGTATAGATATTGGATAAACTTCGAGCTTCAAAAGCGGGTGTGAACAAAATAGTTTGGGTCCGAGTAACTAATCGATTGTTTTTAGCGCATTTTCTCATTTATGGAAAAAATGCACTATTGTGCTCGCCATGTCCATCCGTCCGTCTGTCTGTCTGTCCGTCTGTCCGTCTGTCTGTCCGTGACCTCAAGTTTTCGTCGACGAGAAAATGCGCTCGCTGTCACTCACTGCAGTGAGTACTGAGTTATATTTTCTTTTCATTGGGGAATGAATCCACATCGATGATTGCATCTTATCGAAATTTTGAAGAATTAAAGTTCAATCAACACATCCACACTCAAAGGAACTGCTGAATAATGTTATAAATATCAAGTTTGGTTCGCCACTATCATAAGCAAGTTACGCTCAAAGCGAGAAAACTCACGATAATTTTGTTGAAAATTATGACAATGAATTTCAGTATGGCGATTTGATGTTAGTTTCTAAATTCATTCGTTGCGATGATTATTATTTAACTTTTTCCACTATCGCACATTTCATTTATCTTTTATAATATTAATTTTGATTTTGTAAAGCTAAGATTCACATAATCCTTCTTATTTATTATCCTTATTATTTATTATCCATATGTCCTCTCTAAAATTTTTTGGTCATTTTGCAATTATAGGTAAGGTAGCGACAAATTTTTTCAAAGTAAACCATTATATGTAATATAAATGGTATATTGGAATTCATTAGCATGCTACTAATATAAAAAATAATGATTAGAAATATTGCAAAAATTCCACGCTCTTGACAGCTGATAATATATTAATTCAAAATTTCGGTTTGCTTTCATAGTTTGATCTATTATATGCAAACTGCTAAAACTCCTTATACCATCCGCGCATACAAGAATTCATTATTAACCCTCTACCGCCTGACATTAGTAACCAGGGCAATATTGTCACGCGCCTACTTCCCAAAAAGGATACGTTCTAGTGAGCGCAAAATGACTTGCACTGATGGTTGCCGCCACGTACGACAACTTTTAAATGTTTCTGTTGCGTACAAACGTCCACAGGTTGCTACACTCAATAGTTTACGTATAATTTAAGTTGAAAGTTATGTTCCCGGAGAGTGACACACGGTGGTAGAGGGTTAACTACAGGCAGGGTGGCCCAGTGGTTACAGTTCAGAGTACTATGATTGGATCAGGAAAGTGCAGGTTCAATCTCAGCTACCTGCGATAGTTCTAGCCAGTATCGGCGAGGTGTCCGGGCGGTTTAAAGCAAAGCAGAATTGCGGCAGTGAGTTGTGTGTTCGAGACCCGAGATAAGCTGTGAATATTTTGTGATGTTAATAATGGGCGACAGGCCTACGGCCTAATCAACGCTGGAATCGCTGTTATAACGTGATAGAGTAATCCATTACATTTTCTAAACGACAGAAATATGTTATAACAGAAATTTTCCAAGTTTTTTTTTCATATCGTCATTACTCGAAACCAGTTTGTTTATTTTGTTTTAGATGTGCTTTATTGGTTTCTTTTTATGAGTCATTCTCCAGAAAATTCTTTGAGATCTTTTTGCTTTACTTCCAAGTTTTCCAAGTTTAGTTTCTACAAACAATTTTCATCAATCATCAGTAAATCCAGAAAAAAATGTTCCCTGTTGCTCAATTAACTGCCCAAGTCACTAAGACAGCAAACCGAGAGAAGTCAGGACTATTTTGTTAGGCATCTGCTGGTGATTCTTTCAGTCAAAAAGCCAAATCAGTTCGTTAATTTAAGCCTTACTTTTAAAGGGTTTTAAGGCGCTAAAATTACACAAGGATCATTAAGTCCTCCCAGGTATGAAAAGTTGAACGTATCATTTAAATTCCGCGAGCCAAAGTATCTTACTTTCCTATTTGATTTCAAGCTTGATTTTGCAACTTTGTCAATAATTTAAAATTATATAATTCCATTATCTCGAATCTAACGCCTATGGAAATGTCGGAAAAGTGTAATTTGGTGGTTAAAGAGCAGATAATTTCGAGTCTTGAGGTCCTCGTCATAAGAATATTAAAAAAAGAACCTATTGAAAAATAAGCGCCGAGAATCAGCTATCACCTGAAACATATTCAAAAACCTCTAATAATTAGTACCAGAACCGCGCATTAATTAGATTTCATTTCAATGATATAAACGAAAATGTCGTAGTATGCCTTGGTGAAACTAGCGTCATGTTCATGTCGTGCAGCCACTTGCCAGTGATATGATATATTATATATGTGTGATATATGTGATATATTATATATGTAGTACTATATTATCCCAAGTGATAACCCCATTCAGTAGAGTAATTGATGTAGGCCCTACTCACTGCACTTAGTTAAGTTTAGAAGTTAAATTTAGACAGTTTGTTAAATTTCCTGGAATGACATCAAAATTGCACAATAATTTCAAATGATTGAGTTTTGAATAATGGTTAAGGGTTGAGTCTAATTCTGTTTTGACATATAAGAACAATCTATTTTTGAGAATAAAAATTTTATTTTTCTTCAGTGAGTAAATGAGTGAATAGTTTTTAATAGAAATATGATTCAAACTTTCCCTAGAAACTGAACTGAAGAGGCTTGAAACTCCCACATAATGTCACGAAATCTCTGTTCTTTTTTCTACGATTTCTTAAAGATCAATGGCCTCGGTGAAGGCAAGACGAAGCTTAGATCATTTTATTATATTTTTATGGCCACTATTTTTTAGGTTATTTTTTTATTCTGGCAAACAGCACGAGCTTTGCCATCGCCGGCCACGAAATTGTCACGTGATCTGTGGAAAATTCCAGAACTTGTCTTTCGAAATAGACATGGATGTGGCGTGCGATGCTCGTGGAGACATGCAGGCGTCTTACACATTCCACACACACAAAAACCCACACACAAGCACACACACACATTCACAAAAAATACGAGTGTCTTCCAAAAAATTTTTGATCGATTTTTGATATCTATTAAATAAACGGTATGACAGCAGTTGGATTTCACGAAAAATGGAATTTACGAAAAATTTGCCCTCAATTTTCTCAATTTTTGAATTCATGAGTTATTATTGTGTAGCCAGAATAGCTGAATTTCATGAGGCCTATACACATTAATGGTCACACAAGCTGAAGAACAAATCTAAAAATGTAATATTTCTATAATTGTTATTCCGGATTGTTTTTTGCCTTCGAACAGTTACTTTTATTCATAGAATTAAACACCGCAAATGTTTAATTGAAAACACAATTTTCTATGTTAGAGGGTCATAAATTTTTTTCAAAAACATTCAACATTAACCAAATATGTGAAGATAAAAAATTCCATTCGTGCAAATTTTGTCAGGAAAAAAGCAATTCATAACCTGCTTACAAATAATCATGTATATTATTGATAGCTCATGGGCCTTTGGAGGTGTAGCCATCCTCTTTTGACTAAGCAAACTTGAATACCACGAAAAGTTTAATTTTTTTCACTTTCCAATGGAGGGAAATAATCTACCATTCTTTCTTTTTAATCTCCCCGGCAACAAGCCCCGGAAAATATCCTAGTATTTCGCTCCCAAGATGAACCTGCAGGAGTGGAATCTTCCTATTGGAGCTCCAGAACGAAAAATATACGAGATTTGTTCTACATCTTCAGTTACTGAGGGAGAAATTTTATCTGCTTTGGTAGGAGGCAAATAGACGGTCTTCCTTTCGCGACATGCCCACGTCGTCGAGTCCTACAAGTTTTCAAAAATTTTCGAAGTCTTTATGGAAATTTCGTTCAAATTCTCAGGCTGTAAATTTTTAGAGAGGTTAGCTTTCTATATCACTGACTGCAATAGTTTTAATGATACGTAAATTCATTTGTATTATTATGAGCCAATTTTTTCATTAGAATCAAAAAATTCTTACTTAAAAACATAGACTTTCTAGTTTTAAATTCACATATTTAAAGATTGAAATTAAATATTTTAATTAGACTACTCGTATTAGGGTGGAAAACCTTTCTAATTGCCGGATGAACGATACAGTAAAGTAACATTCTCCTTGAAGAATATTTCTAATATTATATTAAATCATATTATATGTAATTATTGTTTTTGTCAATGTAATTATTATTACTATTGTTACTATTATCATTATCATTATCATTTTTATTGTTATTATTATCAGTATCATCATTATTATTAGTAACATTACTATTATCACTATTATCACTATTATTATTGCTCGATTCTACTACATAAATCCCATACGAAATAACGACCGCAATTGCGAACGACCTGTTTGGCTGAGAAATCACAGAAATCTGCTCATACGACACCCAATCCTCTTTTGAAGTCTTTCATCAAACGACATTTTGCGCGCGCATTACAACTGCTTTGTATGTTCTAAATCATAAACTTCCCATTGGGGTCATTGGAATTAGGCTATTGATATGCATCTTATTCATATTTTGCCCCGGCAACAGTGAGCTCTACTCAGATTACGTAAGTGCGATGTTAGAGGCTATCGAGGAGTCATTTCCGAGTTTCCAAGGTAAATCGGCCGTGAAATATGGCTCTACTATTTTAGAATGTATAGAATTTTATGCCAAAAATGATAGTTGGAGTTTTCATTGGCAAAAAATATGTGCTTAGGAAAAAATGATTCCTTCGTGTCCCATCCAGGTTGATGTTCTTTAAAGTGAACATTTCAGGGTTTTCTTTCTAACGATAAATTTCAATTACAATTTCACGCGATTTTTCGCAGCGGTCATTTTATTATGAGTTGTGCATTAAGGACAATGGTTAATGATCGTTGGAGAATATTGAAACAGCATCTCAATAAAATTCATGTCGCAATTATTACTTGCAATTAATTGGAAAGAAATTGCTCCAGCATTTGATTTTCATACAATCGTGTTAAATAATTTGAATATCTTCCACAATGACCACAGTTCTTGGTATTTAGAATGAAATGAAACACTAGAAATGACAATTTTGATAACGAAATCTGAATGCGTTCTGAACTGATGGGCACAAAGCTTCTGAGCAACTTTATATAAATTATAATTAAGATCATTCTTGGAAACGGAGGCATTTTCATCGCACGATACGTGAAGTTTTCGAATCATAAATTTGAGAAATAGGCCAGCGCAGGCAATTGTTCCGCAACAAATTGATCTATTTTCTCTTGTGCTTATGCACGGATTTTATCTGAGTTTTCCGCACAAATCCGATAGCGAATACTGACAAATGATTTACTGTCCGTACAACAATCAGTTTGTCCGTATTGCAATCAGTTGGTCCGTATTGCAATCAGTTGGTCCGTATTACGATCAGCTTGTCCATATTACGATCAGTTTGTCCGTACTACGATCAGTTTGTCCGTATTACGATCAGTTTGTCCGAATTACGATCACTTTGTCTGTATAACATCAGTTTGACATTATTCGCTTGTCCTGACACTGCTTCATTACAATTTTTCCCACCGCCTTATATGCCAACTGATACTTACATAAAGACTCGCACTATTTGGTTATAGAATTTCAGAATTCATCACGAAAATCGAACAAGAGTTTCAAGTAAGGTATTAACTATACATGTATTTCAGGTTTTAAATTGAACGAATAGGATTTAGCTTCTACGCAAATAAATAAGGACAATGAATTGACAACAACTTTAAGTAACTTTCTCACTGAAACTTTCATGAATGTTTTATTTTTTAAATCGCACATTTTTCCTTTAAAAATGTGATTTTTTTTTCATACATGAATGGGTTAAATGTGTTTCATTGGTTTTATCTTATTTTTCATTTATGTATTTAACAGAAATATTTTGAGTCCACAATATACCAAATTCTAGTGCTAGGTTTGCATAAAATATTAATTTTTAAAAATAGGCCGACCTGATGGTAAAATGTTTGTGCGTGGGAACAGCGAATGCCTACAACGCAGATTACTTCTATTGCATGCAGCAACTTCTTTCTATCAAACTAAATGATCAATAAAAAAGATATTTTGATTTCAAACAATTTTTTTGCATTATTTGTTACTGGAAACATTTTTATAATAACCGAACTCATCGCTTATTTTATAACATCTGTACGATTTATCATTGTGAATTTTCGTACATATTGCGTCTTTTCATCATCAGTATTCAAAATCAAATTTCCACTGGTGACCGTAGTTTTAATGTTTCATCAAAACAACTGGCACTGTAAATAAGTACCTATTACAGGCTCATTCAAACACCTTCTTCGATTAATAATTTGTTATACTTATTGCTGACTTCTTAAAGGAGAAATCTGTCCAAAATGTATTTCACCTGATAGCATCAAAATTCTCAAGAATTTCACTCGAAAAAGCTTCGCTGTCCTAGAGATTGCAAACGAATTACTTGCATTTTAATTTTCTTTGATAGAGATTTAATTTAAAAATAACAATAAGAAGGATTTATTCAGGTTTAGAAGCATCCATTGCTTCTGCAGGCTCTGAGGAATCAGGCTTCGGCGCCGGCGTAGCTTCCTGCAAAATTTACGCACACATCATTCACATCATTTTTAAGAATAAAATTAATAAATAAATAGTCGCAGTATCAGTAACACATTTCACATTTTTATGAAGGACATTATTTATACATTTTTAAATAGGCTATAATAGGCGATACAGCAAATAAAGTCATGAGATGGCCAGAACCATTACAATAATATTGTTTATTCGCTGGACCAATAATGAGAAAAAAAAACATGAAGCAGAACGTCCGAATTGTGTGTTGCTGAAGTTATGAGTTCAGAAATTAAAATTTTATCCGTGCAAAATACCGTTGTCCATACTTATAGGTTAAATATAGTAGATTGAATGACTAATTAGTGTTCGTAGTTTAATTAAAAACACAAACTAAAATACCATACAAACTGCACGAACGAAAGTATCCCAGAAACAAAAAAAAAAATTAGCTCATTTCCGACGAGTACACGTCGTTGTCATATTTCTATTGCCGTTTATTTTACGAGTGAGAGGGTAGTTTTTTTAAATATTGAATTATTGTTATGATTGTAATAATTTAAATTAACCAGCAATGCTACTAGGGTAACCTGCACGTCGTTTTCTTCGTCGTGCTGAGACGTGTGTTCAGCGCCATCTCCTCCTTGTCGCTTCGAGTCATCGTCGTTCGCAGGCGATGACGTCTTTGTGGTCTTGGGTGACACGTCCGCTGGCTTACCGTCATCCTCGTCATCTTTACCATCAGAATGTTTGCCTTTAGAGTCCTTTTCGTCGTCCCGTGCGACAGCAGGCAAATCTGTTGCATCGTCGTTGCCACCGAGCGCGAGAATGCCGACGATGGACGAATGGCCGCCCTTGGTCGCCCACGTCAATAAATCTACGGACTCGCCACTTGGAAGTTTCACTTTCACTCCATTTGGGTTGGCATGTTTCTGCAGGGAAATATGCTCAGTTAATTATATTGATAACGTATGGAAACTATAAAATTCGTATTCTTCAAATGTGTCATAACTGATGTTTCCCTTCTTCATGTGCAAGATTATGATATTTGAAATCAAATAGATATCAAAACCAGAATTTTAAAATGTTCCAATTCTTCATTAAAAATACGACGAATTTTAAATATCTAACAGCAATTTAGTGATTATCAAGCCTGTGTTGTAAAATAAGAACTGTAGCTAACAGAAAAATTTGAAGATGCCAAAGCCATTTACTTTTCGATGATATTTTCATACAAATATTTTCTCTACATTCCTTTGGAGTGCTTGCTCATTATTTTGTATTTTGCCACCAACCAATATATTTCTTTCAAGCCTGCACCAGCTTTTGTAAGTGTACAGGTTATAAAAATTTATCAAAATTTATAATACTTCAGCTTATATTTATATACTTATAATGCTTTAGGTTTTAAAATTTTATCAAAATTTTATAATTTTATCCTTATACTTATAATACTTTAGACGAAATGTTATACTTATAATACCTCTACAAGTTATACTTATAATCTTTCAGGTTATAAAATTTTGTCAAAATTTTATACTTATATACTTATATTTATAATACTTCAGACGAAATGTTATGCCTATAATACTTCTATAAGTTATTCTCATAATATTTCAGGTTATAAGATTTTATCAAAAAACACTTGACTGCTGTAGTTACAACCCAACAGATGCACATCTCTCCCACCTGTAGGAGTAGCTGTAGGTGAGCTATTTTCCCTTTCTCGGCCGCCGTCTGCAGTGGCGGCTCTGGTTCCGTATAGTCAGTCTTTGCGCCTGCCTGAACCAATGAAAAATTCGTTAAAACAAGTAGTAACGTAAAGCGATAAGATACTTACACCTTCTCTGTTAGATTTCAAGTGACAAATGAAGTGAACTAATTTAACCTTGCATTGTATATGTCATTGTCCGTGATCCCACCAATGAGGTATGATGATCCTCACTCAGAGAAATAAATGGGTCATGCGGTTTAAATATTGACACACTTTTCGCCCCTTTGCACTGTCAAAGTGGATCACGATGACCCACTGAGGTGCAAGAAGTGCATCATCATTTGGATAAGTTTCATTAATGTCTTTAAATGCTGCTAATTTCGTGTTCATCTATCCGTGTTGAATCAGTGGATACTGCTGATGATGGTGGAAAATGTTATATATTTTTAAAGTTTTTTATTCATTTATATTATATTTCCGCCATACGTCCCGATATATTAATTTCTTGATTATCACAGTCCTGAATTTGTGTTGTGTTATTTCAGAAATTCTCTTAAGAAAAAATTCCCAGAGTAAAAAGAGGAATGAAAGAAGTGTGACACCCGGGTTTTTATAGGAGGAGTTTTACGTGAGAAAAAAGTTTTACATGCAGATAAATGAATTTTTATTTACTTATATATTATTTTCCTTCCGTTAATCCTTGTATTTAATGTTAAATAGTTGGCCTACGATCATGGCTTTTAGGTGATTTTTTTGTAGCTACTTAAAAAAAATTATTCTAAAAGTATTTTTTCAGTTAATTATTTATTGAATTCGTTCCAAAAAAGAACATATAAAATTAAGTCGATTTTTACGTAACTGCTCATACACTTCGTTATGTGAACAACATTAGTTTAAAAATACACTATAATTTTCAAATCTTACTCATATTAATAAAAAATTTCGAAAAAAATATTTCTCTAGAATATTAAGCATCACTTACCTGCTGTTACTTCTCTAGAATATTAATCATCACTTACCTGCAGTAACTTCTCTAGAATATTGGGCATCACTTACCTGCAGTAACTTCTATAGCATATTAAGCATCACTTACCTGCAGTTACTTCTCTAGAATATTAAGCATCACTTACCTGCAGTAACTTCTCTAGAATATTTGGGTCTTCGTTCTCTATAATGGCCGTTCTTAAGATCGGACAGCCGTCCTCGTTCTTAGAGTTAACGTTACTCCCGGCCTGCAAAAAAAATATTTGAATCTTAAATTTTCAAGAATAAATGAAATTCAGTATCAATTTACATACCTTCATCTCATACATTAACTTGATTAATTTGTTCAAAGCCTAGTTTATGATGTAATAAAATTTTGCTCGTTGTACATCGTCGCTTAACTGCAGTTTCAGTATAGCTGCGTTGACTGTTTACTATGATGACCTTGAGATTAGGTTCACGATGCAAGCTTTAGTATCACGAATGAGGATCAGCATTGTTCTGACGTCACAACTGTAGGCCATTAAACCCAACTTAATCGTTATCCAAAATTCTTGAGGTCATAGTCACGATATGCTTCGAAGCCTATCGATTATTTACATTATATTTAAGCTTCTAATTTTTTTGCGATGTCTCAAGCATATGATGCCCGTAAATGCGGATTGCAAGTTTGGTGGAAAAAATTCGGTCTCTTGCATTGCCATCAGTCCTTTTCAGGAAACGCTGGTTTAGCTGTTGTGTAAGTACACTGGAGTGTATTATGCAAATAATAATTTATTGTCCACACAGAAAATGGAATGTGTTGACCAAATAATGACACACTTTCTTATCCGCAGCGCGAGCAGAGAGTGGACGTATCACTGATATACTTAACCGGTCCAAACTAGGTTAGCATGACCCACATGGAGGCAAAGAGTGCGTCGCAACTTGCACGAAGTCTCAATAATTTCTCTGATAGTACCTGCACATGTACATATGCAAGCTTCGAATGTGGTATTAACGGCAGATGGTACATGCGGCAGCTTCCGCATGTACCTCATGTGGACGCCGTTGCGTTTCCACTTGTTCTTGTTATGGGCGTCGTTGTTTTTCCCTTGTTTTCTCTTGTGCACGTCACGCAATTCATGCATGTCATGTATTTAGCAACAGTGAATCGTTCGCATTTCAACCCTGGCTGTTGTTGGGCATATTGCTCGGTGGCCATCGGAAAGCAAAGCAACAATTCGCTAAAGACTGGAAATATCCAAAACGCCTTTCGACACAACATGAACTCCTTCGGTCTTCGTGAACTGCGTGATCTCGTCCTGCCGTGCTATCAGCGAGGTCTGGAGACGGTCTGAATGATAAACTAACTTATTCAAGGCAGCTTATTGACGTTGGCAGGCAAAACAAACTCAACAAGTTTGCAAGACAAACTCGAGAGCCATGTTGCACACTTCGAGTTCGTGCATGAACCGGCAAGTGTTTGTCTGCGTTTGGCCAACACTTAGAAACGATGCAGAATTTGTATGTATATTTAAGTTATGTTCAACCACGTGAAGAAAACCTATGATTATCTGAGGCTTCGTTGCTTGCCAATCGCTTCACCAAGCAAAGAGAGTTCGAATTTTTCAATTAATACAAAACAAATAAATTATTTAAATGAATTAAAATGTCTAAAATTACCAATTACGTGCGAATTTAAATAATGCAATTACTTAAGAAAATTAAATTATTTATTAAACTTACCTCTAACTCAAATATTATTGTTTGATAATTACATCACTTGGGTAATGTAATTATATTATTTAGCATTGGCAATATTTCTATCAAATAATTGCTTTTATTATAAGAATAATCAACGCGTATAAAACTTGCACAACCTTGCCACGTGAATATAACCTTGTGCACTGCCACGCATTTGTGGGATCGAGCATAAATCTCATGCGTAGTTCTGAACAAAAATGTTCATCTGTCTTGTCCAAAGAAGTAAAAGATGAGATGAAACATCTGGTGCGCAAAGACTGCTGATCCCCGACAAGGTCAGCTATACAGTTTATATTTCCTTATTGTTGAAGGCTAACACAGAACCAACTAATGGATTACATATGATAGATAATGTGTCTTTCCATGTCGTCATGTTGGAAACAAATGAGAATAGGGGCTCGTATTGATATTCTATAGAGTGCTGGTCATTTATTAATCTGACGGAGAAGAAAGGCATTCTATTGAAAGACAGAACAATATGATCGAGAGGAACACTCATTTTATATTAATTTCTGTTTAATATTATGTTTTATGAAGGTCATCTAGCAAAAAAAAATATTTTTTTTTCTGCTTCCCCTTGTATTTACCATTCATTGTGTCATCTAGCAAACAAAAATTTTTTTGTTGCTTTCCCCTGTATTTATTATTATTTAAATTATTAAATTGAATTATCAAATACTGATCATTTTGAACGTGCTTTTTGAATAAGTCATCTATTTATGTCATACACAAGTGAATATTTCCTAAGGTTATATTCGATATGAGTAATTCATACTTGGTCAGGATATAATACGAACTTTGGCAGTAGTTCTCTTCTGCTGCCGAAAACAAATTAACGGCGCACATTCATTTTAACTGCAAAATTTATTGAGAAAAATTCGAGTACGATATACATGCGAGTTTATTAGGAATAAAAATATAACTCAGTACTCACTGCAGTGAGTGACAGAGAGCGCATTTTCTCGTCGACAAAAACTTGAGGTCACGGACAGACGGACGGACAGATGGACAGACGGACGAACGGACGGACATGGCGAGCACAATAGTGCATTTTTCCATAAATGAGAAAATGCGCTAAAAAGGAAGCTAGGCCTAATTATTCAGTGGATTAAAAAGATGATTTGCTAAAATTATTTCAAGATTATTTTCTCTCGTATCCTTTACTCTCCGTTCAGCGGCCAGCTTTGTTCAAATATTCGCGAAAGCAATCGATGGGCACAGCACAGCGTCTCGGCGTGTCCGTTGCCATGTTCGATAGTCACGGTCACGTCTACGTGCCTAACACAGCACGGTGTCGTGCTCAAAAATCACGGACACGTATAAGTGCCTAGCACAGCACGGTGTCGTGCTCGACAGTCACGGACACGTCTAAGTGCCTAACACAGCATGCACGATGTCATGCTCGACAGTCGCGGTCACGTTTACGTGACTAACACAGCATGATGTCGTGCTCGACAGTCACGGTCACGTCTACGTGCCTGACACAGCACGGTCCACTTTACGTGCCTGGCACGTATAGTCACGGCCACTTGTAAACGTGCCTAAAGCAGCTCGGTGTCGTGCTAGACAGTCACGGTCACGTCTACGTGCCTAAAGCAGCACGGTGTCTCGACAGTCACGGTCACGTGCTGCACGCATGACGTGCTGCTGGCAACGTTTTCGCATCAATTCCTCTAAGACTAATTTGAACTTTTTTTCTCGTGTCGCTCCCAGCATATAGGTTCCAAATTCATATATCAGGATTCAAAATTTTAAGTGAAAAGCATTTGTTTACGAGTTAGTTATTAGTGTGGTTAATAAATTTTCGTTAACGTTGATTATATGGGTCATATTTTTCACCTTTTTTCACAAAATATATATATCAGTTAAAATTACCTCTAATATCATCCCAGCAAGGTGAAAAATACTGATCGAAAAAATCGCAGATAAAATTAAAAAAAACTTGCTGAACTCAACTTCTCCTATCTAACGATTTAGTTTTGATGTAAGTTTTTTCACTGCTGATGCTATTCTCCCTTCGCTGAATTTAATTAAAGAACATTAAAGGCTTCTGAGAAAGTGACAACAAGGCACGCAGGCACACGGCAATCGATGCAGCGGCTGCCGTGTCTGAGCTTTTAATGCATGCCGCCCCAGTCAATCGTTGATACCCTAATAAACTGAACTATAACATGACTTAGGGTAAAAAATAGGATCTCAGGAATAAAATGAACTGTAATATGTAATGACTTCGGGTAAAAAATATTATCTTAGGAATAAACTTAACTATAACATGACTTAGGGTAAAAAATATGATCTCAGGAATAAACTGAACTATAAAATGACTTACGGTAAAAAAATATGATCTCAGGAATAAAATGAACTGTAATATGTAATGACTTCGGGTAAAAAATATTATCTTAGGAAGTTTCATGCTCTCGCGAAAGAGCTACATTTGGACATGTAAAAAATTTTCGCTAGTGATCTATAAAATTTGAGTTATCCTATCCAGCGGATTGTGGAATTTTTGACGCGACAATATATAACTTTCAAATATCAAGATATCATACTATATTATCAAATATCCTAAAAACACTGAATTTAGGAAAGTTTTTTGCTCAAAAATGATAGAATAATTTAAGAAAACTATGATCTAATATTTTAGTTTAATGCACAAAAGCAACCGAGAGCATTTCCGAGTACCGAGAGAGTATCTTTTTATATGAAAATATCAAGCTGAAAAAAACGAACATCATTGATAAACTGAGTGACCATTCTACATAAATTAGCCTTTTAATTACGCTATGAGATATCAGCTTCAACGCTCGAAAATATTGGCTGCAGTACATTATTATATGTTTATATTAATTATATTATAATTATGATTAATTAATTATTATATATTATTATTAGGCTCGAAAATTATAGGCTGCAGCACGCTACTCTCAGATACTAGTATAGTTTGGTTAAGTGTCCTATAATTAGTGTTTAAATGGATTATTGTTATACTACTGTCTTCCCGCTCCTCTCCTGTTCCTCTAGTTACGTTTAGGATAACTAGCCGCTGGATTAACTAGGCTTATTCTGCCTAAAGTTAAGATTTGTTGAATTACCACTTAGCCCAACATCATTCACGGAAAATTTATTTAAGTCGGATATCGCATAAAGTAAATATTAACGTCTCGTTAATTATGAGAATATAGAGAGTTGTTGACAATAGATCAGTTTGTTAACTAAAGAAACCAGAAGTCAAATTTTAGAACTTGAAAGAAATATGAAGGTGAAGGACATTTTCATAAGCTCTCAGGTAACGCTGAACGCTTCTACATCCGAAATACTAGTCTGATCCAGACCTCAAGATATAACGAATCCGGTAGCCTCTCGTTAACTTGTTTGGCTGGTGAAGCTCGCTTCTTGACCTGGCTTGACTTCCTAAGCCATTAGCAAAAGCACAACCACCCTGTAAGCTGCATATTCATGTTGAATAACTTATTAATTGATTTGGCTTGGCTGAGCCGAGCTATGAGCTGCAAGCGTTAGACAAATATCCCAAATACGTCGTCATTGGTAAGTGCTTTCTACTCGACTTATTTTGACGGTGCAAGCAGTTTTTTGGGTTCCGGATCACTTGGCATCTGAAAAGCTGCGTCCTGTCAACTCATCGAGCTTTAAAATACGACGAAAAAGTAATTTTTGCACATGTACTGAGCTGCAAACTCCATAATATAGAAATAGTGATACTAATAGTGATTTTAGTTATAGTAGATATTTTAATGCTGCAGCTGCTAGCGTCCGGAAAACAAATAAACGTTCAAAAATAGAGTAAGCCACTGAGCAGCTTAGCCGCTCATTTGTTAGTTTGTTAGTCGTCATGTTTACTCTGAAAATAGAGACTTTGATGATTATGAAAAATGAAGTAATGATATGTATGAATTATAATTTTATACGAAATATAAATTCATGAATTATTTTATTCAGTGCACGTTTACAGATATGTATTCAAGGTACATGCTAAAAAATAATATTGGAAATTAACAATGACTATCATGGCCCGTATAATGGTTTTAATACACGAGCCGTAATTTCCTCACCGTAATAAGTTCAGATACAGTGTAAGTTTATAGATATTAATTGAAGATATATAATATAAATAGTTTTCGGAAATCAACAATGACAATCATGGCTTCTCACCGTAATAAGTTCCGTAACAAGGTCCGGTCTGTCCGCCTTAACAGCGATGTGCAGTGCCGTGTTGCCTTCACCATCCGTCACTGACAGGTCGGGGCCGAGCTGACAGAACACGCTCATTGTTAGCCACATACGTGCAATGTTGTGTTATCAACACGTAAATTATTCACGTTACTCTAGTATTTAATGCAGGTTTCATTGAAGACCAGAGAGTATTTCTTATTTAAGAAAATTGTCAATAAGAAATACTCTCTGGTCTTCAATGAAACCTGCATAAAAGAGAAAATTGTCAATAAGAAATACTCTCTGGTCTTCAATGAAACCTGCATTAAAGAACAGCTTCTGCCAAACTACACAAATGTTACTCAAGTATCTATACGACATAACAGACCACGCACATTGTTAGCCACATACGTGCAATGTTGTGTTATCAACACATAAATTATTCACGTTACTCAAGTATCTTTACGAAATTGTTACTCAATCAATAACAAAATCAATATTGCAATTTTCATCTTACGTATAAGGCGGTATCAAGATATCTCATTTTCCAGATAGTATTCTGATGAATGAGTTTTTCCAGGTTAAAACTATCTTAACGAGCAACGATTTGGCTTTATCGAGCTCAAATATTAGCCAAAAATATTCTTTATTATCGATAATCAATCTAAATTAGTAGATACTTCTCTCAACATTTTACTTACTACAAGCATTTATGACTTACGATGACTTCATCACATTTCGGTAGCTTGGCTTAAGCATCCCACTTAATTCTAAGCATTAATGATCATATGCCCGTAACTTGCGACAACATTACTTACCGCGAGCACAGCTTTAGTAGCAGGCAGGTTGCCCGCACTGGTAGCCATGATGAGTGGTGTCAAGTCCTTCACGTCGTCGATGTCGAATTTCGTGTTGACGTTGGAGCGGTTGAGAACGCTGTCCAGCGCCTCGGGGGGCAGCGAGCCGTTCATTATGGCCTTCAGCGTCTCCTCTACGCTGTCCAGCGGATTCTTTTCCGACAAATCACATGGGAATAAATATTACAAATTACATATAAAATTTTATTAATTGCATATAAATGTCAAGGATTTACGCTCGGTGTGGTTCTACCATGAAGGCCGAACTAATTAAAAGTATTTTGTTTGACAATGAATAAAGCAAATGAATAATTACTTCTACAGAATTAGTCAGCAATTCGGAATTGTATTCCCTAGCTTTTTCTATAAAAAATATCATTTTCCATTAATGGCTGCAACAGAATCATGAAAACATCCCTGTTATTAGAGTCACAGAGTTTATTGATTACGTAAGGCCCAATATTGATGAGACACGAAGCTACACTAAACTACGGAGAAAGCCCAAAACTGTACATTACTCTGTTTGAGATTTAAATCTATGTTTATTTGAATAAAATGTACGCAAAAAAAATTTCCGCAACTTCGTCGCTCGTTCCCTGCAATGGCCATGAAACCTTACAGTTCATTCAGTATATCGAGCGTCTGTCTGGCGAAGCCACTATAATTTACGCGTCATTATAAATTGAGATCGCATTGATAACAAAATGCGCAGTAAAGAAATCTGCGTTTCACATTAGTTCCTTTTGAAAGTGCAACTGCGACGGAGTTTTCAGGACAATGATCTCTGTGCTACTAGTAAATCTCATCCTCTTCAACTATTTTCAATTATTTACGAAGACCTCGCTTGTTATACGTAGTACCCTAACAAAATTTAGAGTCGCCCCAGCTTCTGGTACCCCAAATCAGAAGCTGGGGCGACTCGAAATTTTGTTAGGGTAATGGTTACAACTATGTGTTATAATCATTGTTCTAGTATGGTATAATGATTAGATTTCAATTATTATAAAATGATTACTTACCACTGGCAGAGCACTAGAGCCACAACCCATATTCGAGTGTGTTTTGGGCTCCTTGAATTAATAAAAAGACAAATATTGCTTTGGGATAAAACCTATTATATATCTGAAGGTCATCAACATAGATGCCTGTTAGTCGAAAGCTCAGTCCTGAGAAAAAGTGTTAAAATTTACCATGATATGAAAATTTTAAAACTATAAAAATATATAGACTAATTTATAAATAGACGCCATTCATGCAATCATTTAATTTATTTTATATTATGACGGGATAAAATGTTAGCTGCATGTGCAAATTTACAGCACATTCGTTGGTTAAGCGTTAAACAACAATACAAATGACTCCAAACAGTAATTCAAATTTTCCGTCCATTATTAAGTCCACTAATAAACATTTAAATCGAAAGGAATAAAGTGAAAATGAACATCAAGATATTTAAGGACATTTCTTAAGTAATTATTTCAAATAATAAAAAAACTGAAAGCACAGACAACGATATATCAAATGTATGTCGCCTAAGAGAAAAAATATATCAGTTAAATTATTGAAGTAATAATTTATAAAGTTATTAGACTATTTGCATGCACAATGAACGCATTCGTTTATTTATAAGTGTCACTCGACGATTCATTCGCGACTGGAAATAATTCTAAATTTGTTGACGTAACTTTGCGAGGTAATCTATCACTATAGCTCTGAACGAAATCGCGTAAAATAAGAATGTATGCTTAAACAGTTTCATCATAATGTTCCCCATGTTTACCTTCGAACTTCTATTAAAGGGATTATTTCATAATATTAAATCAGTGATCGAGAAGGACCTTGGCTCGAAAGTCTACGGATAACTGACCGAATATTTAATTTACCCTTTGGTTATATTAGGTTCAACAAACGTTCAGACTTCTTGTTGACATGCACACAAACATTGACGGGAACATTTTTTAGTACATACACAAAAAACATTGGCTCGTAAATCGTCGTAAATTAAATGAATATTGTTATTTACACTAAATATAGAATAAATAAATTCCACATTTGAGGTCGTTTCCGGAAATGCAAAATTACTGTCGCCCCAGGTGCTGCCACTGAATGTGCATACTTCATCACAAAATCCATTTTAATTTTTCAAAATTTATTCAGGTTCAGATACGTCAAACTTCACAATTTAGAAGTAGCTTAATAGTTTTTCACGGCTCTTACACAATCTTGTCGTTCATCGATTGGGAAAGCTAAAAATTATAAGAAAAATTATGACGAAAGCGATCGAATTTTCTGTGTAATTTTTATTCAACATGAACGCAATTAGAACAATGGCTATAAAAATCGGAATTTTGAGCAGACGCTGACCCCGAAAGCTCAAAATAATTCAGAAATTTTTATTTAAGAATTTTTTTGTCCTGTCAGTTATTAATTCCTGGATTTATTTGCTTGAAGAACATAAAAATTGTTAAAAATCTTAGACAGTTTATTACAGTCGGGTGGCTGGGTGCATGCATGAAAGGCTGCCTAACTGTGGCCAAACATGGAACAAACAAATTCGCGGGATCGTCATGGTCGTATCACAGCAGAGGTCAGATACCGCAGCGCAAGATCAGACAGCAGGAGAATTATATGAATTAAATATAATTGTAATTATACGAATAAATCGTAATTATAATTATATGAATAAAACACGATTATCATTATATGAAAAAATTAATAATAATAACATGAATAAAATATAATTACAGTATTGCGATAACTAATGCGACGTGATGATAGTCGTAATAAATGACGTTGCAAGTTCTTCATCTCTTGACTTCTTCAGTCAGCGCATTTCCACATAAAATGTACAGCAGTAAATATTGAAGAAAAAAGTATACGGAACAAATGATTTTTTAAAACAAATAGACAAATTCTTTGTTCACTCTTTTCCCTGTTGAACCGACAGTTATCTCAAATTCCGAAGAAACAGAGAAGAAGGATGTTTAAAGTTACTAATCATCGACTAAACAGAACCAATTGCAACCATGTTCTAAAATGCTCCTTAAACCGAAGTTTTTTATCACGCTGAAACTATTATGTGTCAGGTCTGATTCACTATCCCATGGCATTTTTTATTATCGAGCGGTCCAAACTGCAAGCCATTGCATCGGATTTGATGCAAGTGACGTGTTATCAATTGTTTTTCACTACATGGAAAAGGTATAATTCGAATGGCAATAGGCATTCTTGACATATGTCATACAATGGCAATTGGCATTCGCGACATGTTATACACTGGCAGTCGGCATTCCTGACATGTCATACAATTGCAATTGACATTCCTGGCATATGTCATACAATGACACTTGGCATTCCTGACATGTCATACAATTGCAATTGGCATTCTTGACATATGTCATACAATGGCAATTGGCATTCCCGACATGTCATACACTGGCAATCGGCATTCCTGACATGTCATACAATGGCACTTGATATTTCTGACATTTGTCATACAATGGCAATTGGCATTCCTGACCTGTCATACAATGGCAATTGGCATTCCTGACCTGTCATACAATTGCAATTGACATTCATGACATATGTCATACAATAGCACTTGGCATTCGTGGCTTAAGCGCCAAAAATTAAACTTCGCTGAGTATCCAGTTACCTTAAGGCATGTAGCTAACATCTTACTTATGGAAAATTCTTAGACAGCACAATTTAAAGCCATTTAATTGGATCAGAGTTTTTAACATCTGATCTCCAATCAGTGGCACAATTGGTGCAGGAAAAACTGTAAACACAAGACAAACCTCGACTTCACGAACTATTTGAATGTAGTTTTAAATAATCGAGTAACAAATGCAATTTTTTATTAAATAATAAAATTTAACTCCAAAAATCTTTTAAGTTTTTTTTAAACCCGACATCACAAACACTTCCTGAATTCTTAATATTCTTTCGAAAGTTTTTGAAAACTTTTGTGGTATCTGAGCTCCCGATCTTCAGCTCGTTTGCCAGCCCGGTGCTGCGAGATGGCTGATCGACAAGGCTGTGTTTACGTCTAAACGAACCAGCAAACTCTGGCAGCTGATATAATCTTAGATCAATTTGATATAATTTGGATCAATTAATAAAATAATAATTGATCAGGATCAATCAATAAAAATTATTCAGAGAATAATTTTATTTCAAAGAAAGTTGGTCTCGGGATTGTTTGGCCTTCATGTCTGGCGTGTGTGATTTTTTTAGTTCGATCCATGTCTAAAAAAATCTTGAAATTCAATATTACAAAAGTTCGTGAAACATCAAGAGATTTGCAGGAAGACTCAGAGAAGAAACTAGACAGGTCGGACAGGAAGGTAAAACTTCTGATTTTATACAAGATAAACAAGTATAAAAGTACGTGAACCTTTGACATCGATGTAAAGATTTCATGTTCCACCGATTAATTAAATGTAATCGAACGCCAATTGAGTTATCGGATTTTTTCTATTCTAATTTCAAAATGAATTTTTTATTTGATTTTTATGATTCCATTGAGTTCAGAAAATTTGTTGCACTCATTAAATATTTAATAACTTTCTTCCGAGCGTAGCTACTCATAAAGTTGCAGTGAAACCTCATTTATGTGAAAGTTGTGTTAAGTTCGAAACTCTTCTGAGTTTCAATCTCTTCTCACAATCCGAATATCAAGCATTTGGTTATTTATTCAATCAGGTGGGGCAGCCCTTTACTTCCATTAGAGTCTTCAGTCAGTTTTTTGAGGCTGACAAAGCATATTAAAATTTGTCTCTTCATTCCCACATTTGGCAGTACAAATCAATTTAAAAGACTTTCTTTGCTTAATTCAACATTTCAAAGCGGTTACTTAACACACAGTCAGATAAAATAATTAGACTTCAAATATTTGATTGAATGTTGTTAGACTTCAAGAGGTTACAAATTTTTCAGTGAGAGACTTCAAGAGGTTACAAATTTTTCAGTGAGAGACGTCATGAGGTTACAAATTTTTCAGTGAGATAATCGAGCTGCTAGCGTTTCAACTCCTTGCTTCTGCGCCAATGACTTCGTTGCTATGACCACGTGGTGTGGTGACTGCAGGCCGGCGCGCTAAGGCATTTGACTACCTCAAGTAAACAAGAGCTGTTCGTTGACCTCAGCTGCACATGCCGGATGCCTGAGCTTGTATCTTTTCATCTACAAGGTCAGCAATTCGTAAACATGGGTTAAATTTTAACCGCTATCTGATAGAGAATAGAAATTTTTCAATATACGACGTTTTCTATAAATAATAGAACCTGAAGACAGACAAGAAGAGCGGAAATACGAGTTTTTTTGTTTTCCATTTGACTGCCTGCCTGTTATATTTATATTTATTACATTGTTTATACAAGTGTATGTTACTCTAGTAGTATTAAAAGAAAAATATGACATGCAACGAAAGTAGCGTGTTTGCTTCTATTTTATGTCTCCGTTGTTTCCACGAAAGAGTGCCGTCACAATTACTTTACGCTCATCAGTTCTCACACGCTTTGTCACGGACGATATGCACGTATTTACGATGCATCGAACTATCGAGCAAGACAGTCATACATTGTCTCTCCTCCTTGCTTGGGCGCTAGTGTAAATAACGCGCCTATTCATACCACGCCAAATCAAGAGCTAACTTCAAGAAAATAAATACATGGATTGATTCCACTAAGTGGCCGCATTCATGACTCATGTTTTATGATATCATCAGTTCACAATAAAATATAATTCAATATCATAACCATTATTCTGCAAGCATTTCATGACCTTCAATCATCGTTAGAGTTCTTAGTATCTGACTGAAGGTGCCTAAGTAGTATTTTACGATCATTACCTAAAGAAGGCCTTAACAGTTTTGATGCATTAAAAATAAAAACCACTTGATACAGGAAAATATATGTCTTAGTTTAGAGTGGATTTCTGTTTAGATTGTGTCGAGTCTCATGAGATCATAAGAACTACAATATTTTACACTATATTTTCACTTTATCCTATTCAGGCATCATGTTGCAAATAATTTTCAAACCACTTGATTTTCTGAAGAATGCTGTATACCGTCTACTGCACATTAGAAAATAACTAAACTTCACCAAACTACTCACTTTTACCGAGACATTATTAAACCTATAAATTAATAACTAGTTCTACTA